TGGCGTGCTAGGGCCTCTAAACATGACAAATGTCTCGAAAGATGATGTCTGTTTTCAATTGAAAAGCAGAGTTGTGACAACATTGTCTAAGAGGACAATGGGGTCTAGGAGTATGTATAGAACATTGGGGTCTAAGAGTCAACCCTGGTTCAAAACCATCTGTAGAGGCATCAGCACGCCAATTCTCGACCCGCTCTTTCATTTGAGCCCAAAAAAACATTCATATCTTGGTCTTGGATTCTTCCAGGGGGAAAGTCGATTTTCGCCAAAATCGAATTTTTTCGCCGAGTGAAAGTTGATTCCGACTATTCAAGCGATGGGTTATCCAGAACTCTCAAAAGTATTGTGAAAAAATGAAAAAATCTGCCTTTCCGCCTCTGCCGTGACGAAAAATAACGTTCTCACCACGGAAGGTAAAATAAAGGACCCTTAACCACGTGCTTACCATGTGGGTAAGGGTACGTAATTCTGCACTTGGGCACGACGCCTTTATTTTCCCTCCCTTGGTGGAAATATACTATTTTTCAGGGGGAAAGTCGACTTTCGTCAAAATCGAATTTTTTCGCCGAGTGAAAGTCGATTCCGACTTTCTAAGCAACGAGCTATGAAGAACTCTCAAAGATATCGTGAAAAAGTAAAAAATGAAAAAAAAATTTCACCCGGGGCCAAAGTTTTAGATCTTGGATTTTTTCAGGGAGAAAATCGACTCTCGCCAAAATCGAATTTTTTCGCCGAATGAATGTTAATTCTCAATTAGTACGTCGCTAGTTTTTTGAAATTAATAACCAGTTGAGTAATCGTTAAACACTGAAAAATGCATTACATTCATCTGTTAATGAATTGCAAGTGATTTCCCCTTGTCATTTGTGTATAAATAATAGTCTCCTGACAACCTATTGCTCCAATTCGATTTAGTTTGTAATTCCATTTGAAATCATAGTAATCCCGCCATCTCTCAACGTATCATTGCAGTAGAAAATTCGATCGGTAAGACTTTTTCAGAGGACGTCAGCTATATTGAGGCCTGTTTAACCACCACCTCATCAGAATCTGTCCATCCCCCTCCTCCCCTACTTTCACCCCCCGCGAAAGATTGAACTGGGTGAAATGAAAGACAGGACTCCAAGTGCAATTATTAATTATTTAATGTATATATCACCCATTCAAGCTGCACAAGTCTTGTACCTCACGATTATAAAGATTTTTTTATGTTTAAATTGGTTGTTGAAGTCTAGTTGCAACACGAGGCGCATAATATCGAAATTTTTATCTCTGAAAACGTCGTCGGGAAGCTTTTCACGCAGACTCGTGCCTCCCACCTTTCATTTTTTTATTCTTCAAGAGCTTTTATTTTGTGAGTGGTAGATCCAAAAAAATTCGTTAGTGATGGAAAAAAAAATCGGTAGTATTTTCAGAAATTGAGTGGAGTGGGCCGGTCGATTTGGATTCATGCATTTATCTCAGAACCAGTAGATTTTACGAGCAAAGTCAAATGATCTTTTTTGTAGCTGACAACATCTTCTACGAAAAATATTTGTGCATATCTTCTTCTGAGATCAATTGTTATTGAGATAAGTGCATTTGGAAATCCAGTAAAAGACTGATAAAACATGAAAATTCAATTTAAATTCAGGATGAATTTTCCTCAAATATTTTTAAAGCTAGAAAAATTTTTATGAGGAACTTTTTCGTAGAGTGAAGAGAAATCTACAAAAAATCTTCACGAAAATTTCACTGTCTCTCTTAGATTTCGCCATATTTTCGAAAAACTGTTTTAGTTTTATGCTTTCTACCAATGGAATTGACAGAAATGAAATGGAAATGGAATAAAAAGCTAGCAAATTCGCTAGATAATTCTATTGGATTTCTACTGAACTTTCTATTAATTTTTGACCGATTCTATTGAAATATTCAGTGGAAAATATTATATAAAAAAAGTCAGTAGAATTCGATTTTTCTATACAACCTATTCTATTAAGATATTTTCTGTAGAATTTCCTCGGCTCAATTTTTTAAAGTTTTCTTTGTTCGATTTTCTTGACGAAATGAACTGAAAAATTGAATGAAAAAAAACTTGGAAAATTTGAGCCGAGAAAATTCTATCGAAAGTATCTCAGTAGTATAAGTTGTATATAAAAATCGAATTCTATTAACTTTTTCTATAGAATATTTTCTTTTGAAAATTTCAATAGAATCGGCCAAAAACTAATCGAAAGTTCAATAAAAATCGAAGAGAATTGTCTAGCGAATTCGCTAGATTTTTCTATTAATTTTTTTCCTGCGCATATATTACGATACAAGTGGAAAAAAGTAGTTGTTGACGAGAGTGCGCGTGACAGGCCGAGCTGAAGGCGAGGTCTGCAATCACCTCCGTCAGGAAGTACATTTTTTCATACATATCGTTCGATATTTTATGATACTGATGAGAAAAATGAAGTTCTTTGCCCGCGAAGCGTGCAAAAAGGTGCTCTTCTTTCATTCGTATAATAAAAAATGTTCTTCGAAAACCTGTTTCGTTCACTACTTCATGTCCTCCCGTTACTCCACTCAATTCCATTTTTCACTCTCTAACAAGCAAACGCATGAGTTACATTCTCTCAATGTTTCTTTTTCCATAAAATTCTCCATTATACGTAATAACACGAAAGACAAAAATACTGAGTAATCTTTCCAAGTATTCAACAACAAATGGGAATAATTAGAGCTGTACTATTGTGATAATAAAACCTCTGTCCACTGTTTGATAATTTATAAAGCACAGTTCATCAGTGTGATTACAAGCAATTGTTCAACAATTCAACAGCTCATACTTCACTCCCTCATGGGCCTCAATAATTCAAGAATTAACTCTAATAATCTGAAATTAATAAAGCACAAATAACACTGATTTTCACTGAAATATTCATTCCAATTTTCGTCTCGGTTAACTCTTCCTTTGAAGTATAAACACCTGAATATTGCCACTCGATACCCTAGAGTATTTATAAAGGAGACATTGCTAAATCAGGGCATAAGATAAATTTTTAGTAATCCCTTTTTCTCCTTTTTATTCTCGGTTTTAACGTTCCAGATTTTTTTTGTCTAAATGAATATTTCCTTGAGAGAAGAAATTAGTGATTCATAAATGAATTTCTCCAGGCCTGTTAAGTTAATGATTGCTTCGATCAATGAGACCTTTGAGTGGAAAACTTAGCGCGTTTGGTAAATTTTATTAGAATTTTATTGGAATTCTTCAATAGAATTCTTATATTCATTCTTTGCACTGATTCCTATTGAAAATTATGTATTTTCAAGGTGCCGTTTCGATAGATGTGCGATCGAAAGGAGCATTAAATGTTGTTTCATTATAAAAACGATTGAACATAAGTTTTTTAAATGTTTTTTTTTATCCTGCAATGAGAAATAAAAAATCAAAACTTCTCGCATAAAAAATCGCGAGAGAATAGTAATGCATGCAGGAAAAAAAAATGCTGAGTTCTTTTCTATTAAAAATCTATTAAAAATCACAAGGCAAATTTGTACAAAATTTCATATAAATTCCACAGAATTTTTTTTAGAGAAAGCGATCTTTTCCTATCAAATTTCTTCATCCGTGAACTGAAAAAAATGGTAATTGAAAGTAATTCTCAATGCCATGGGTATATCCATTCAGAAATGACATCTTCCCTCAAAAATATTGATTCACCAAAAATAATGTTCTTTCGCTGTCATCACACGAATGCAACTCCTCCCAAATTCACTTCCCAAAACCTCCCTCTTTCTTAATCCTTTAAATACTCATTACGCAATCTATGATGAATAAAATACTGATAATATACTCCATAAATCCGTCTAACACGATTTTAAATATTTTATAATAATTTGTATCTCCATGTTCGTTACTCTTCACTTCGTGGTGCTTTTATTACAACTATAGATATTACTAATTATAATTGCCAAGGCTCCATTACATAATTAGCCACTGTGCTACAAATTACATACGAGGAAAATGTTATCTGGATCACTCAGTATTCATATTGAAGAGTCTATTTAAATTGAAAATTTTCTTATGGAGAATAATGATTTCTTGTATTGCCTCTCAGCCCGACTTTACAACTAAAACACAGAGTCTGCCCACGCAAGCAACATTATCATGCGTACACGGTACACTAGGAGAAAAACAATGTGTTCTCAAACAAAGCCTGTTTGAACCAAAAAATCGTCAGTTGAAAATTACCGAGAGAGAAATTGTTTCACTTGAATATGCCTAAGTTTCAAACATGGATAATCGCACTGCATTCGACAACGAAATATTTGCCCCAAAAGGCGGATCATTTATGCAAAAAAACATAATAGAAAAAACTAGTGAATTTACTATACAATTCTGTTGGATTTCTATTGAACGTTCCATTAGTTTTTGACCGAAAATATGCTATAGAAAAAAATTCAATAGAATTCGATTTTTCTATAGAACTTATTCGCTTGAGATATTTTCTATAGAAATTTCTCGGCTTAAATTTTTCAAGTTTTTTGCTTTTTCATTCTATTCTTCTTTTCTTTTCATCAAGAAAATCAAGCAGAAAAAATTGGAAAATTTGAGCCGACGAAATTTTATAGAAAATATCAATAGAATAAGTTGAATAAAAAAACTAATTTCATAAACTTTTTCAATAGAGTATTTTCTATTGAACATTTTATGAATCATTTATGGATGATTTTATGGAATTTTATGAATATTTTAGAAATCCAATAGAATTGTCTGGCGAATACGCTAGGTTTTTCTATGAAATTATTTCATACACGTTCAGAATAGTTTCACACGAAAAAATTTAATGAAAATATCTAGCGAATTGGCTAGAATAGTACATTAGTGCACTGGAGTAGCAATTCCGTTTTCGACGAATGTGAAGTTTACAGGCCGAGCCGAAGGCGAGGTCTGTTCTCACATTCGTGGAAGACATAATTCATGTCCGACTGATGTATAATGTTTTATATCACTTCGTACGAAAATCGAGATTGAAGCAGGCTGTAAATTCGATCCGTTGCACGGCGTGTTATAAAATTCTATTCGATTTCTATTGAACTTCTATTGAAAATTCTATCAGTTTTCCGCCGATTCAATTGCCGAATAATTTCGCAGCTTTAATACGCATTTTTTTAATAGAAAATGTCCAAGAGAAACCATTATATAAAAAAATCAGTAGAATTTGACCGTTTCATATAACTTTTTCTATTGCGCGATTTTCGGTGGAAATCACTCGTCATAAATTTTCTAAACATGATTAAATAATTTTTAGAAATTTGAAAATAATTTAGACGAGAGAATTTTCGACGATAGTATTCTTCAACTCTGAACTCCGCAGATTGCTGGCTTTCCCCGCCGTCATAGGGAATACCGCTTTGTAGGACAGTGTAAATAAATAAATAAATAAATACATTTTGAAAATATTTTGCACTTTTTTTCGCTTAAAAGGATCAAACAAAAAAACATAAAAATATCAAAACATAAAAAATCAACCAAAAAACTCTGGACATTTTTTAAATGTTCAGCACAAGATATTCCATTCTCGATTATTTTCAACTTGCGATTTATTTCCAAACAAGACTTGTTTGAGAACATGTTTCATTTCCCTTCAATGTAAGATTATCAATGGTTTAGTTTTTTTTCGACGTATGGGGAGCGTCATTGTAATCCCCCTGCTGCTGGCCCTTTTGATTTCTGTCTTTGTAGTCGCCACGGTGATCGCGGGACTCCTGGTCTCGACGCTGACGTCCCTGCCCTCGGAATTTACGGTTGCCACTGTCTCGGTAGTAATTTCCACCGTTGTGGTAGCCCCGTTGAGATCGGTACATCGGGGGGTAGCATGAGGCCTCGTTTTTCATGCTACCAATTCGCAATTCGGGGAGGACTATGCAAGACATGTCACCGTCTGTCCCGTCGTCATCCAAGCGATTTCGACGCTGATAGTGCGCTGAATGGTGGTCATAACTGGAGAATTTAATTTTTTTTTTTTTCATTTTCAGTCATTATAATTTGCAAGAAATGTTAATTGTCATGAAAATAATGAAAACCGTGAAACTTTTGGAAACCTTTTTTTTGTGTAACACATCGTGATTTTATCAATGATTTTCGAATCTGGACGACTTGAAAAGTCAAAATAAAATTATGACAGACAGAGGGTGCGGTCTATTTTAAGAGGAGTAAACGACTTGAAAATGTTTGACGGATTGCTATAATATTTGGATGGTAAATTACCATTTTTAATTTGAAAAATGGAATTGCTACGGATCTATTCGGAAGCTTACTACCAACTGAATTGGTAGAAATGAAATGGAATTGCAAGAAAAGGCTGCACAACTGAAAAAATTGAATAGAAAAACCTAGCAAATTTGCTAGACAATTCTATTGGATAAGTTATACAATAAGTTATATAGAAAAATCGAAATTTATTGACTTTTCATCGCAATGTGTGCAAAGTCGAATTTTACGCGCGCTCGGCGTGCGCAAAATCCCACATTATGCACAAGTGATGAAAAAAAATTCCTTTACATTCAAAGATACTCATGGAAAAGTCATTATGAAACTGCGTTGACTTGGCTCGTTTCACCACTTCGCCCCTCAAAATTTTAATTTACCTGCCACGGCCTCTCGACGACTTCCTCCAGCAGCTGTCCCCGTCCAACGGTGGAAACTTATATGGATGCCGATTAGACTGTCCAGGATCGCCAGAGGCGACTCGACTGTGTTGTCCATTCTCATTACCCCGACCTCGCCCATGACCACTTCTGTTTCCATTTTTCGCTGATGCTGACTTCATCGAGGCTATTTCCCTCTGCTGATCCGCATTCTCACGCCTCAGACGTTTCACGAGGGCCTCAGCATCCACCAGACGACCCGCCAGGTCAGCCTGGACCTCCTGTGTCTCCCCCACCTGAATCCCGACGTCCGAGACTTCATTTTGGTCCTTTCGTTTCTCAGTTTTCTCCAATTTTCTGGGGGCAATCAAACGTTCAGATGGGGCTGATCGTGGGAAGACGTTCGTACTCACATTTTTTGTTCCTCTACGACATCCTGCAGCTGCTGATTTTGCTTTTTCGCCTCGTTGAATGAAACCCTGAGTTCCTCCAGATCTCGTTCAAGTAATTCAATCTGTAGAGGAGTAACATTGACACTAACTGGGCTTCCCTGTATTCAAACACACAGATATCTAACAACGAAGTCACAGATACACTTATTAAATCAGTAATTCAAGGGTGAAAACGATATAAGTGCAGTTTCACGTACGAAAAAATTTATTTGATAAACCTAGCGCATTCACTAGAGAATTTCCAATTACATTGGATTTCTATGAAATTTCTATTGAAAACTGTCCTAGTTTTTCATCGCAGATTTTCTGCGCGTTTCTTTCATTATAAAATGACGAATAAAAACTATCGCAATAGAATGAGTTGTATAGACACAGGAAATTTTATTGGTATATTTTAGATAATAGATTCTATTGTGTATCTTCTAAACTAACGGAATTTCCAGTTGAAGTGCAATGGAAATCAATAGAATATTCTGACGAATGCGTTAGCTCTTTTTCATCAGTGAAGAATATCTCAAAATCTTGGAAAAAAAATTTACAAAAAAACAACTCACACAAGATCCCCTATTTCTCACAAATTTGCATATATCGACCAAGAAATGAGCTGTTCTTAAGGATAATTTATTTAAAAGCCGTTTCGTAGAACATCCACAAAAAAGTTTCTCATGAAAATTCAGCTCTCTTTTAGATTCAGAGATATTCACCAGAAGTACTTTGAAGTACACTGAGGGGAAAAAGTTCTCAAACAAGTCTTATTTAAACCAAAAAAATTGCATGGTGAAAATTACCAAGAGTAAAAAATCTCATGTCGCACATTTGAAAAGTCTCCTGACATGAAAAACTTTCGTCGTAAAAAATGATTTCGGTGATTTCGAACGTCATGGGAGGTGATTTCACGATTTCGAATGATTTCATTAGTGCGAAATCAGGAATTTCAGAGAAATAAATTTAACAAATACTAGAGGTGAGGCAAAACGGATTGTCAAATTATGAAAATCAAAACTGACAATAATAACTGCCAAATAATAACGGATTCATTTTATTCCACTCCGCCAATCTTGAGCTAATGACGATGAAAAGCGGTCAATTTTACCATTTTACTATGGCAGTGAGTACGGCATTTTATTATCATCGTTGGCAGGCGTGTCAGTTTCACAATCACGAATTACTTGCACGGTTCGTACTACGCCAGCTCTCACTAATTCCGGTGATTTTATTGATTTCATGATTTCGAAAATTATTTCGGAGAGCTGAAATCACTTGATTTCAGTGATTTCCCGTGATTTCGGAGTAATTTCGGAATGATTTCATGGCAGAGTGGCACCGTAATTTCGGGAGTGAGTAGCCCCTCGATTTTATGCCAACCATGGAAGGGTAGTGCGTGAACGATCCGCCCCTTGAGCCAAATATTCCGTCGTTGAAAGCAGAGGGATTATTGATTTTTAAAACTTTAGTACGTTCAAATGGACCGATTTCTATCTTGGTCATTTTCGACTTTAAATAAGACTTGCTTGAGAACATTTTTTATTTGAGTTACCTGCTTGAAAAATTCACTTTTCGGGACGGTTTAATTTGCGTAAAATTTCTGTTTTCCACACGGCACGCGTGAAGCTTCGCTTTACCCTGTTAGGAATTCATTTTTTATCACACTGTCCGTGAATAGTGTATTTCGACATAAAGCCTTAATAGCTATGTTCGTCATACGGCAAAAAAAACTTTTCTGACGAATATGATTGCAGCCCTTGCCTTCGGCTCGTGCTGCAAACCTCATATTCGCTTGAAAAGTTTTTTTCATCACGCTGTGACGAAAAGTGAACTTTTCGGCACGCTCTGCGTGCCTAAAAGTTCAATTTTCGCCACATTGTGATGAAAAATATTGGTCGTAACTCGTGAAAAAATGTTTTTTAGCTCGTGGGATTATATCACTCGCCTTCGGCTCGATATAATCAAACACGTTTTGGCACTCGTTACGAAATATACTATTTCGGCCTAATGAGGAAATATACTATTTCGGCGCAAGGCCGAAAAAACCTATTTAAACGAGTGTGAGAGTTGCTATGGCGAAGCCGAGGAATGCAATTACACCAGTCAGAAAAGTTGTTTTTGTCATTCCGGCCGTAAGGAAGCGTACAGCCGTTATTAAAAAAATATCGTTCGTCACAGGGCCTAAAAAAACTTTTCTGACGAATATGAGTTTGCAGCCCGAGTCGAAGGCGAGCTCTACAATCATACGAGCTAGAATATTATATTTCGTAACGAGCTAAAAAACATTTTTTCACGAGTTACGAACAATATTTTTCATCACAATGTGGCGGAAATTGGACTTTTAGGCACGGGGAGCGTGCCGAAAAGTTCACTTTTCGTCACAGCGTGATGAAAAAGTTTTTTTAGGTCGTATGACGAATAATGTTTTTTGTCATAACAGCCGTAGGCAGCGATTTCCGGATGCGTAAAATGGTTCTGACCCCATCATATTGAGATGTGCGTCATCTCAAGAGTCAAAGAACACTTTTCCGACGAGTGTCGAACCCTGCTTTTCATCACAATGTATGGAAAGTGGGATTTTCAGAAGAGCGCGCGTAAAATTTCATTTACGCACAAGTGACGAAATAGTAAATTTTGTTACGAGTGCGGAAAAGAGTTTTTTGGCTCGTGGGAGGTTTATAGCATGAGCCGAAGGCGAGTGATATAATCCAACAAGCTAAAAAACACTTTTCCCACGAGTATCGAACGATATTTTCACGTGTCTAAAACGTCACTTTTCCTCACATTGTGATGAAAAATCCTATTTCCGCACGACTTTGAACTTTCGCATTCTGTCCCCAAAAACAACCACTTTACCCCCACTACCGCCTCGAAAAGCAAACTCTACAGATATCACAAGAACAGCATGTGTTACATGTGCATCTTGAAAAATACAGCTTTCCACCCTTGTAAAACAATATACTATTTTTCACTCAGCGTAGACTCGACTTATCTCGTTCCACCACTGCAATACTGAACTCATTAAAATTCTGCAAATACCTTCGATTTCACGAAACCATTTGAATTGTCCTCCGGTGATGATGGACTACTTGATACACATGCGGTGCCTTTTGTGAATACCAATTGAAACTGTAAATCTACAGTCCCAGGGACAAAACAACAACATAAAATTACTGATTTCACATCCATAGAAAACCCAATCAGCATCAACCCTCCGAGAAAAATTTCAAAAAATATACCTCTATTTCGTTGCCTCAGTATTTCCACTTCCTGATGCAGTGCAATGAGTGTCGCCTGATGCTGCTCCTGCAGAAACTTCATATTCTGCTCTAACAGGGCAGCACGATCAGTGATACCCTGTTGGGATCTAATCTGAGCTGCCCCATCACTCCTCGCCGGCAATGTCACCAATTCAGTACCTGGTTTTTTACCCTATTCCAACAAATCAATTCGTGAGACCACTGTGAATACCTTTGCACCCATTCCCGCTGAAATCAATCCCTCTAAATTTAACTAAACCCCAACCCCCACCCCTTATCATAAAACAAAATCATGAGTCACTGACCTGGGTGAATGGCACCGTGGGCAGTTTAACGAGAACCTTGGAAGTCATGCTGACGAAGTCACTGGTATCCCTGGAACCCCAACCACTCTTTATCATCCACCCCTCACCGATAAATTGCGCAGAATTATAATAACTGTTATACTCAATCGAATTTAATTGCGTCAGCGAGTGAAAGTGGACCAGAGCCGTCCATTAATCACTCACAACGTAGATAGATATGTTCATACACGAACAATCATTGAATGAGGAAAATTTCGATGGAAAAATTATTAAACCGATATGATTGACGATATAAAATGCGCACACGCAATTAAAAATTGCAAATTCATGCTTACGTCGTTTGATGGATGAGACCGGAACTCGTTGAGACTGGCCGACGCTTGAGGGGGGTGAGACGGGGATTTTTCGTACCGGAATCAACGCCCTCACCACCAGTGCTCACCCTCGGCACCGGAGCCTCGACTTCCGGCAGAAGGCGAATTTGTCGCGTAATTTTTGGCGATTTTTCACAGCGAATTTTGAGCCAACACGTCGCGGGAGACGAGCTAAATGCTTAGACGTTGGGGGTTGGTGATGGGGAGCAACGAGGGAAATTCTTCGGCGCTTTTCACGGAATTGAGGGATGCCGGGTGGGAGTATTGATCCACCTGAGGATGGAGGGGCGGTCATTTTGCGATTGTAGTTACGACCGCACCTTTTTGTGTGGATTATGCACCTGTGCGCATAGAGGGTTGGGGGGAGGGGAGGGGAGGGGGTGTAGGGGTTCGATGACCGGTGGGTACGAAAATGTGGGGCGGGGGGTTTTTTCGATGACAGTTTGGCTTTGGAGTTATGAATGAACATTTTGGGTGGGAATCGGCTGTGAGAGGGGAGACGATTTGATTTAGGGGTGAGTCTGTGAGGGAGAGGGGATTTGTTTCATTGGAGGGAGGGCTGCAGAAATGATTCTTACGAGAAATTGCGTACGAAATAATTCTAAGGGCACTCAAAAAATGGTTGAATTGGATAATATGAAGTTTATTTTAATAAATGGGTTTATTGGAATAGTGGGAGTAATGAAGATTTATTCAGGCTCGCAGCGGTTTTTATTTGTCCTTTTTATTCACATGGCATTTATGTACATTTTTTTTATAAAAAAAAGGTTCTGGATTTAAATAAAGACTTTATTAATTGAACATGAAATAATTGTTTAGACAGTAAAGAGGTCGTATTTATTAACGTTTAATAATCGTTTTTTTAATGAGTGCATTATTTATTGTATGCAGCTCAAACATTTTCAGTAAAATACACATTCGAGCTTATTAACTTTCAATAAAAATATTGTTGAAATGGATAGAAAAATCTCTGGTAGACTGTTTTACTCGTCGCCTGGCGGTTTTTATTTGCGTTTTTCATTCACATGCCATGTATATACATTTTTTTAAATAAAAAAAAAGGTTCTGGATTTAAATAAAGACTTTATTAATTGAACATGAAATAATTGTTTAGACAGTAAAGAGGTCGTATTTATTAACGTTTAATAATCGTTTTTTTAATGAGTGCATTATTTATTGTATGCAGCTCAAACATTTTCAGTAAAATACACATTCGAGCTTATTAACTTTCAATAAAAATATTGTTGAAATGGATAGAAAAATCTCTGGTAGACTGTTTTACTCGTCGCCTGGCGGTTTTTATTTGCGTTTTTCATTCACATGCCATTTATATACATTTTTTTAAATAAAAAAAAGGTTCTGGATTTAAATAAAGACTTTATTAGTTGAAAATGAAATAATTGTTTAGACAGTAAAGAGGTCGAATTTATTAACGTTTAATAATCGTTTTTTTTAAATAAATGCATTATTTATTGTATGCAGCCCAAACATTTTCAGTAAAATACACATTCGAGCTTATTAACTTTCAATAAAAATATTGTTGAAATGGATAGAAAAATCTCTGATAGATTGTTTCACTCGCCGCCTCTGGCTTATTCATTCACATCGAATAAATTTGTTTTTTTTTTTCATATGAACTAGTGATTCCTGATCCAACTAAAGACGTTACTGATTAAAAAAGAAATTATTGTTTGAATAGTAAAGAGAACGAATTTATTAACATCCGATCATCCTTTATTTGAAATGGATGGATTGTTTATTTGCGAACAAAAAATGCGAACCGTGAGTGAATAATTTTTTTCCATTGAATAAATTTATCCATTTGTTAATGAATTTCCGGGTGAATTGCGGAATGAAATAGCAGAGTTTAGATTTTTGAAACGTTCATGCGAGTGAAAACTTCGTTATCGATCGATCCACTCGCCGAATGTTTACCTCCCACCCGCTCCGATTTTTCGGAGCCCCAAACAAACTAAACCCACCCGCGTTCGTCGGTATTTGTAAAAATCCAGCTCCCAACTACAGCCGGTGTTTACTTTTTCTACAAATATACATTATACGTTTTTATAAATAACTGTACAATGGCATGTGATGGACGCGAGGGATTTCCATGATACGTAAAGAGTGAAACAATCGTTCGAAAAAAAAATTCTAACCAATAACCCGGACATGTCATCTTTCGTGAAACCCATGAAATTCGACTACCTGACGAACAAGGGGGTGGAAAAATTAATTTTCTCTGACGATGAGGACAATGACTTTGATTTCAAGGTAAGTAGAGTGGGATACAGCGAATAAACTGCAGGGCTTTGATGGTGAATATGCAGAATGACATGGGTCAGTTTCGCTCAGACTTTAGGTTTTGATGAATATCTGGAAATCAAAGGACGATGAGACATTCTCTTAAGGGGTAACAGACTGGCGCTAATTTTCCAAATTTGTGAACAATTTCCTATCGAAAGTTATTGATATTTTTACAAATCGAAGCACGTTAATTTCCAAGAGACGATTTTGAAGATCAATATGCTTTGGGTTTGAAAAATATTGATACCTTTGATCACAATTTGGTTGTAAATTTTCAGGAAACGTTGCCCTTCTATTACCCCTTAAGGACCTTTTCTTTGATTGGAGACAACTGCATAATATTATTAATAAGTCAGGAAGTTCCTGTAAGATTTTACTTCTTCGGGGAAAATTACGTGACAATTTCGTACTTTGTTCGGTGATGAACCTGAAAATTCACTGAACGTTTCAGATTTTTTCTCTTCCATTCCTATAAAAATTTCCGGAAAAAGATTCCCCATTGCGGGTTACGTGAATTGTTCAAACAGATATACCGCAATTTTGACCACGACCTTTGCAGCTTCCCCATTATTCCCCAAAAATCCCCCTTAAAACTAAATTTCTCGTTTTATTAATGAACTCCTGCCCGACCCCCCAAAAAAATTCCAGTACGTCCCAACGGGACAATTCAAGCAGATCCTCAAGGACGTGCGTCGTCAGAGGTCCCACAGGAACGATGAAAGGCTCTGGACAAATTTCCTGGACCAAAGAACCACCGGAATTCCTTTGAAACCCCTCAAGCTTCCCCTGCGGGCAAACCGCTCCGACATAAACCTAGACCTCCAAAGTTTTCCCTCCGAAGTAGTTCCCCAGACGCACAGGATCTCCAAATCCACCAGAAATCAACGAACCTTGAAACCACCCGATACCGAGGCCCTCAGCAGAGGGAGCAGCATCACATTCCTCCCCCAGGATGACGATGACGACGACGTCTCGACCCTGGAGAGATCCCCAGTCTCAAAACTGGACGTCAAGTCCAAGCACTCGAGTTCTGAGAGCACCATCAGGTCCAGCACCCACCGGAAGAATCGATTATTACGAAAATTGAATCGACTGGAGTGCAATTCAAGTCCTGATCTGAGCTCTCAGTACGAATCTGGAGATGACGAGGAGTTCCTGGAGGTCCAGCCACACCCAGTGATCGCCCAGAAGATTCTGGGCCTCCAGGGGAGGATCTCCGAGCTCCTGGACGAGATATCCTACAGGTTGTGCAGGGTCCCTCGCCCTGATGGGGAGAACGACCTCAAGAGGAGGCAGAAGCGAGTTGTTGAATTCGGAATTCGATTCTCTAGGAATTATCTGTATGAGCTTGGGAGGCAGGTGGGGGACATTCAGAGGCACCTCAAAGCTGTCCTGGAGGGCAAGGGCAGGAGGAGAGGGGCTGTGCTGCACATGCAGGCCCTCGAGCAGAAGCTCTGTGCCGCTCACCAACTTCTAACTTGCGCCCTCAATGCCTATTGCAATCATATACCTAGCTCAGTGCTTCAGGGACATCCTGGGAAGCTCAAGGAGATTCTTGGGATCGTTGTGGAGCTGAAGGATGTCTGTGGGAAGATTAATGTCACTGCTGAGGGGGTCGGAGGGGGCGACACTGGGTCACAGGGCTTGGTAAGTTCATGATTTTATCGAGAATCTTTTATAATATTGTCATCATTGTATGTTCTTGAAAAATGCAATTTTCTGTACTGCTTCTCACGATTTCTCGTCTGGGAATTGGTATTACATACTTCCCAAACTCGAAAACTTGAAAATCACTACAGAAAAATATTGTTCCTGGGCTGTTGCGATGGGGTTTTTTACTCGTGTGGCGTTGGCCTCCGAGCCGTAGGAGGAGTGGCCAACCACACGCGTAAAAAAACCCCATCGCAACAGGCCGGAAAAATACTATTTCCAATGATCACTGAAAAATTTAATTTTTTCATCACACTGTCCGTAAAATGTCGTCTCACTTTGTGTCCGTCAAACGCCGGTTACGGATGTTATGAAGAACAATTATGTTCGTCACTCGGCCTTCGGCTTGTGCTGCAAACTCTTATTCGCCAGAAAAGTTTTTTTCGGCGTAATGACGAAACATACTATTTCGGCCTTGTGACGACAATAGTTATTTTTTCATTAATAGTATCCAAAAAATCATTGGAATTCACCTTTTCTATATAACTTGTTCTATTGAGATATTGTCTATTTCTATCAGCACGACATTATTTATATTCAGAAATTTCCAACCTTCAAGACTTCTTTGGGATCGCTATTTTTTTCTCTCATATTAGGATTTTTCCATAAAAATTGTTGAGTACGAAGTATGCAATTTTTTTTCTTCGATTTTGTAATGGGAAAGAGGAAAGAATTCAGTTTTCACTCGATTTATCCTTTTTCCCATTTGACTGATGGACTTATCAATGATTTTCTTCAGGGCAATGACTTGCAGAGTAGATGCTATGCAATTCTCTCAAAGCTTCGACTGCACTCAGACAACGAATCCCAATTATTCAGTGCTCGGCACTCAGTAGTGACAGGACCATTTCCCCCCAATGTAAAAAGCCAGAACAATCGTGTTGATGTCTTGAAAAGCCTGGCAAATCGTTTCAGCATGTACAGTATGGATTCGAAATATCCAAAGACCCAGAGACAACGTAGACCAGGTAAATGAGATACATCTGATTCTCATCTGATTAGTTATTAGTACAGTTGGTGTCTGGCATGTCTGTTTATAAACACCTGCAGTTACAGTTGGAGTTTATCCAAAAGATAGAAGTATTCCTAGAGTGTCATTAAACAATCCCCCACCGACTCCCGAGCAGATCTACACTAATTCCATAGGCTGTAAATCGTCGAAGGATTCGATTAGGAGAAAGAGACGTCATGGAGTCCATGGGGATGACATCAGAACCATGATGGACATAATTCCACGTGATTCTGAGACTGTGAGGAATAGCAGGACTGATCTTGGAAATGTGGATAATTTTGGAATGATGAATCAGGGGAGTAGTTGTGTGTCAAGGAAATTTCACTCTGTTACATCTAATGAGAGTAAGATTAGCATCAAGAGACGTGCCAAACAACATTTGGGGAGGAATTCGAAGACTTCTGTTAAAACGAGCAAAACAAGCATCAATGGAACTGGGGAGGGACCTAATACGGATGAACGACTGGCTAATTTGGTTCCTGTTATTGCTGATCTCATGAGTCTGGTTGCGAACAAGGTGAATAGAGGCTTTCGCGTGCCGTTTTTCATCGCTTTTCTTATTATTTTTCTTGTTATTTTTTTTGTAGAAAAGTAATGGAGAGAAGAAATCGGAGGCAGCGTCGATGGCTAGCCTGCTTGAAATTATTAAAAATGTTCAGCAATCAGAGAGCAATTGCGATAGGAAGGCTAAAAGTGATGATCCAGCTTCTAATATTAGGTACAATAGCCAAGCTGGTTTTTAGAAAATATATCTGGATTGAAGAGATAACAGCTCTTATGAAATGTTGTTCTCATGCATGACAAAATGTAATAGAAAACATAGATCATTCGCTAGAGAATTCTATTAGTTTCTCGTCAATTTCTCTTGAGAATTATGTGAAATTCTCCTGGTGTTTTTTAATAGATATTTAATGGGAAAAAATCCATGAAAAGTTGATAGAAATTGATTTTTGAATTAAATTTATTCTTTTGAGATTTTTCTACAAGAAGTTTTGGACGCGAATTTTCCATGTTCTTTTTTCGTAGATTTTTGAATGAGAAAAAAATGAAGTTCTATGGAAAACATCTCGAGAGAATAATTTATGTGGAAAAATAAAAATATTTTGAATTTTCTCTATCAGAATATTTGTCGAAGGATGACACGAAAAGGCAGAGGATTTTTTGTAGAAATCGGAAAAAAACCAATAGAATTTCAATGGCATTCGAATGAAATTCTATTAAAGTTCGGCCAAAACTTCTACTTGTTTTTTTAATTCTCATTTTTGTATATCACCTCTTGAGATTTTTTCTATAGAAATTCAGGTACATGAAATTTGAAATTTTATTCCTTTGTATTTTTCTTTGTTCTCATTGCTAAACCCAAAATAAAAAGTTATGAAATTTATGCTCAAGAATTCTTATAGAAAAATCTTTAAAAAATAGCTTATATAGAAAAATGAATATCTATTGACTTTTTCCGTCAAATATGGATTGAAAAACGTCCAACAAAGTTGCACAATTTTCAATAAAAATCGTAGCAAAACAGAGAGAATTTTTTATATAAATCAATTGAATTTTTCCGAGGAAGTTTTACGGCTTCTCAATCGAAGATTCTCATACGTTTCTTCATCCCTTCTTAATAATATTTGCAATTCCATTTTTAGATTGTCTGAACCTTCCACTGGCCCCCACAACATGCAATTGATCTGTCTGTCCCCGGAGAATAATAAAATCCCATCAAAATACACGGACGCATCGTGTCAAGCTACCCAAGAAAATTCAAGACTGATAGAGAGCAAAGACTGTGGTTTAACTGAGTTAATGGTCTCCGAGAGATCCTCTCAGATGTTGTTGAAGTACCGGGATGAGTATAATGCCTCCTCTCGGTCAAGTCCAATGTATACGAGTAACAGTCCAAATAAACCATGGGAGGTCGTCGCTTGGTGAGATAATGAGACACTTCATGACACTATTAAAGAGCATTCAAATATTACGTCACGCGATTACGGAGGGGGAAGGGGATTTATATTTTGTGGTGATTCGCAGCAGAGGAGAGAGTGGGGTTGTCTAAGTTGTAATATTACCCTATAATTAACGAAGACAAGCAGCTGACAACGAGCATATGACTGGAGATTTTTCATTTAGGAGTGTATTTATCATTTTTTGCCAAAAATAAATTGATGGCAAGCATCCTAATGGTTCCATTTTGATTGTTTGATGAGTTCTTATGGACTGATTGAAATTGCTTGAGTAGTTTTTGAGATATTCAAGGAAATAGAAAACCATTTAACTATCCTATTCAATGCACCTTCAATAATGTATAAATAATAATAATAATAATAATAATAATAATAATATAATTATCTCTCTATATTATAAAAATCCCAATCGACTTCTGGTGATAAAAATTTGGTACTCGAAATTGAGACTCCACAATTAAGGGTCACAGGGGTTAAAATAATGGTCATGAGGGTCAGAATAAGAGTCATAAGGGTCAGATTAAAAGTCACGAGGTTTAGAATCAGGAGCATGAGAGTCGGAATGAGGGTCAAAAGGGTCAGAATAAGAATCACGAGGATAAGATTAAGGGTTACAAGGGTCTAATGAATGGTCACATGGGTCCGATTAATGGTCACGAGGGGTATAATGAGGGTCACAAGGGTCAGAATAAGGATTATGAGGGTCATATGGGGGATGGCGAGCGGGGCGAGCACGGGGTGTGGCCCTAGTAATTGTTATTTAGTAATTATTATTATTTGGTTGTCATTGTATGAAAAAATGAATAACAAAATTATTCTCGTCATAACGTGAGGGGAGAGATCGCAGATATTAAGACGTAATATTTGAGTGCCCCCTACGATCCTCTCAACGATGTTAATAATCGTGATCTTTTACAGGATTGCGGATAAATTGGTCGACGAATTGATCGTCGATGTCTCCAAAGAGCTTCAAATTGATGACGTGATTAAAAAACTTTTTGAATTGGAATTCTTGGAATTTTAGATGCTGAAATGTACATTTTTTTGGATTGTAGAAATATTTGGATAAATTTATACTTCAAGAATAAAGTGAACGAATATGAAATCTTGTGACAAGATTTTATATATAATACTTATGTAAATATTCTTTTGTAGAAAAAAAAGCTTCCATGCGGAAGCGAAATCAAGGGAAGGAAAAAAAGGGGAGTTAATTAATCATAGTTTATGAAGTTCATTTGATAATGACATGTATGAAAAAAGAATTAATATAAAAATTCCTATCGGGGTTTTTGCCGTGCATTTTTCAATGGATATTCGACATAAAAATGTTAAAAGAATAACTCACATAACAAAAATCGAAATCTATCGTCTTTTTGCATTTAACATCTATTCAAAAATCGCGTGAAAAATTTGGATAACTCGACGGAAACAACAAATAGAGTTTCAATAAAATTCTGACAGAACTGCATTTTTTTTTCAAATAATTTTCTCCTGTTCTATCCAACGATCTCGGAAAATTCCACACATCTTCCAGAGATGGAGCCACATAATCCCACAGACGATTCCAAATCGTAATTCTACGCAAGGTCAGTGGTTGCATGCCTCCCATGTCTCTCGAGGAGCATTTTGGGGGTACGATTATCAGAAATTAAGCTCCCATACATATGAAACATATGGACACAGGTATATTGCAGTGCTACGTGATTCCCTATGCGTGCACAGTGCGAGTGAAATTCAAGAACGAATGCCAGTCCAATATGCCGGTAGTGACAAGTTCATTTGCTTCGAGGAAGGATAAATCACAGTGAAAAACCAGTTGCGGGATACGTAATACGTGAGTAAATAGCGCATTTTATATTGTAGCAGAGTCCACGTGAAAGGTTGCAGACAAGTGTTTCATAAGATTTTTTTACCAAGTAGAATTAGACAGTAGATGGTTTATTATTACTCCTGTGTTCTTAGTCAATCGGAGTAAGTGAAAATTACTTTGGAGCAAGTGCCAAATATTTTGGAGTAACTGTTGGATAACTATGTTTCAACCTTAAAATTAATATAACAAGGCTAAATATACACTGCGATAAATTGTGTAATCAATATCGAGCTATAATTATCTCAGATTTTTTTACCAAAAGCAGAATTAGACAGCAGATGGTTTAGTCTTATTCCTGTGTTCTTAGTCAATCGAAGTAAGTGAAAATTACTTTGGAGCAAGTGCCAAATATTTTTGAGTAATTATTGGATAACTATGTTTCAACCTTAAAATTAATATAACAGGGCTAAATATAAACTGCGATAAATTGTGTAATCAATATCGAGCTATAATTATCTCAGATTTTTTTACCAAAAGCAGAATTAGCAGATGGTTTAGTCTTACTCCTGTGTTCTTAGTCAATCGAAGTACATAAGTGAAAATTACTTTGGAGCAAGTGCCAAATATTTTGGAGTAATTATTGGATAACTATGTTTCAACCTTAAAATTAATATAACAAGGCTAAATATAAACTGCCATAAATTGTGCAATCAATATCGAGCTATAATTATCTCATTTCGAAAATTTGTTTTGTGCATTGAGAGAACAATTTCCTAATATGTAGATCGTATTCACTTGTGAGAAGTAAATTATTTTCAAGGGCTTAAATCTCAGAATATTTGCCCTTCACGGAATTCTATTAGATTCTCATTTATTACTCAATAGAAACATTGCAAGTCCATAAAAGAAATCATGAAAATAATAAATACTTGAAGATTGACGATTGTTCTGCGCGATTTGAGTGAGTTCATTTGCGACGAAATCATAATTGAGTACAAGAATATTTTAAAGCATGAGACCTTCTCGGGTCACCTGAGTTGAGATGCCTGGAAAAATTAAGCAATTGAAGAAAAATTGCTTGTCTCCAATAAATATCTTTCAGTTATTATTTAAACAATTTTAACTTTTACATTTTGCATATTGAGAATAATTGATGTAAAATAGCAGTAACAGAGTTTTTTCAATTTTTTAATTATTCAAATTCTGCTGTTTTCGATCCCCGCTGCCGGAATTCACTTGCAATTCAATTCGTTTCCATTCATTGCATTTTGCGTGTTATATTGAATTTTGGATATTGCATTTTATACTGAAGCAAAGTCCACGTGAAAGGTTGAAGAGAAGTGTTTCATCAGATTTTTTTACCAAAGGCAGAATTAGACAGCAGATGGTTTAGTCTTACTCCTGTATTCTTACTCAATCGGAGTAAGTGAAAATTATTTTGGAGCAAGTGCCAATTATTTTGGAGTAACTGTTGGATCACAATGTTTCAACCTCTTAAAGTTAATATAACAGGGATAATTATAAACCGCGATAAAATGTGAAATTAATATTGAGCAATAATTATCTCATTTTTGATATTTGGGTTCTGCATTGAGAGAAATTTCCTAATATGTATACCATATTTACTTGAGAAAAGTAAATTACATCAATGGCTTTCATCTCAGACTGTTTACGCTTTTCGGAACTCGAATAAATTCTCATATATTACTATCGTTCTGCGTCATATCATGAATGTGATATATGCCGAATCATCGGAAGTGCATAAAAATAATCATGAAAGTAATACAAACGTGAAAATTGACGATTTTTCTACGCAATTTGAGTGAGTTCACTTGCAACAAAATCATACTTGGGTTGTTTCAGATATTACATTTTTTTTCTCGGGGTATTTAAACAATTTCAAGTTTTACATTGTGTATATTAATAATAATCGATATAAAATAACAATACCAGAGTTTTTTAATTTTTTCATTTATCAAATTCTGTTATTTTCGATCCCCGCTGCCGGAATTCACTTGCAATTGAATTCATTTTCATTCCTTGCGGATGACAATGCACGTTGAATAAAAAACAACGCAATCACTCCAGTGTTTTTAGACTGAACATTTCCAGTCTGTAACGACATACGAAGTTCAATGTATTTTTAATAAGACGTTCGACGCGGATTTCAAAGAGTTTTTATTTTTCATATGGAGATGTTCATTTCCGTGGTTTTGAATTGCATTACATCCTGTTTGTATTACATAATCTTGTGTTGATTCTACTCGATGTGTGATCGATGGGTGATTAAATTTCTTATCGACCACGCAGATCCTCGTATCTGATATTGAAATTCATATCAACGGATCGTGACTTCGTGACTATTCTATTATTTGTCTTGTTAATGGAGATGGAAGTGAGGAAATTGCTAACTCACAATGTCGTGAGGCAGACAGTGAATCGCAGCAAAGTAATTTGCTATTGAGGTTTGTGGGAGAGGAGTTTATGTGGTAGTTAATCAGCAGTTTTCAACACAACTAGTCATCGCAAGTCCTTCACGTACATATACAAATGATAGTGATCGGTCACTTTGAAGAACTCATGAAACGTAGAAATGCGTGAATTAATATTTTGAGAAAATTATTTACTAGTCAACTATCTGCATATCACTTGTCAATCGATTCGGTGTGTCTGATTGTCTAGATTTAATTTGAGAAGTACAAGTTGAGGGTCCACGATCTCCCATATATGTATCCACGGTAGAAATTACCTTGAATCCACGGGAAAACGTCCCGTATATCCACGGTCAAAGTTACCGTGGAGCGCGTGAATAGACACTGCCAATAATATTTCATTGCCATATTGATGGTCAATAGATGAAATTCAATTCTATTTATTTTTGTAATCAATAATCAGGCGGAATTCATTGTTAATGACCATATAAAAGGCTAATGGAAAATTCTGGCGATTTTCAATTCTGTTATAGTTGAGTGCTGATGATGATATACATTTACATTATTCTGCGATCACTGTAATCACTTTTACGATGATTTATATTATTCATTTGATCACTGATCGTAACGAAAAGGGTGTCTATTATTAGACTAATGCGTAATAGAGGTGTGATAAGCTCTCATTGATCAATTATTCAGTTGGGAAAGAGCGGGGCAAAATGAGACTCCTATTTAAATTTTGAATTTGGGTTCAGTGGAATAGGGGAAAAGAACCGTCTTTTAATTTTTGGGTTCATAGAATTCATTTCTGTAAAATAGTATATCAATAATAGAAGTCAAAGAAGGGTTACATATTACAAAAAGAATAAAATTTGTGTAAGAATGAAATTATTTATACGGTAATTATGAGGTAGATTAATGTATACTATTTTATTTCATTTTCTTTCCATTTTCGTCTTCACAATTAGATTAATTTAATTTTATTCATTCTTTTTCTTATTATATATTTTTTCCTCTTAATTCACGAGTTACAACATTGAATGAAGAGGAATTATGTTGAAGATCAATAAAAAGTGTTTTTTTTTGTGATCAAAACAAACACAAAACAAAAGTCATTTGAAATCTCATCCGGGTAATAGAAAAATCTCTCCAGGTATTCCTGAAAATTTTAGAAATCCATTTTTTCCTTCCTACGGTAAAACGATATCGGTGTTCCTCATTCCTATGATTGGATTCCAATTATTATTATGAAAAGGAAATGAAAAAAGAATCAGAAAGGGATAATCGGCTAGAAAATGGCTTTTTCTGCTTCTTTCATGTCGGCGGGAACCTCGAATCACGTTTTTTATGCAAGTATTGAAGGGATATCAATTTTTCATGGAAAAGAAATTTTTAAAAAGCCAAAAAAGTGGGCAGAACTAAAAAAATTAATTTTTCAATGTCTCCGGAAAGTTTTAAAACCGATATATTTTTGCGAATGATGAAAAAATACCCATAAATTCGATTTCTATCGTTGTCTTTTGATAAAATGAATGGAATAAATGATGGAAATAGAGAATTGGAGACTAAAAATTTGGTCGGGTTATTATTATCTAATAATAATATAGAATGGGTGAATAAGGAAAGTTAGGAAAATTGAGCTCGATGTAGTTCACTATTTCCGAAAAAAGTGTATATGCGCACCTTTTGGCTCAGATTTCCATGAAATGCAGCAAATTTTGGATAAGACCTGTTGGCATAACCCAATATATTAAAGAACGCATCTTTGAAACGTAGACATGATTTTTGAAAAATTTCCAAAGGCTTTCCTCTATGGAATGGTCTCAACTAAAAATTTCCTTCCAGAAAACAATGGAAGTCATCTACCTAGGGCTGCTCATGTTCCTGAGCCTTACGAATGCCCAACGCTTCAATCTAGCTTTGAATACAACCGAAGTTGAGGTACACGTGGACGACACGATCACTATCCCATTCTCCCTAACGATGCCAGAAAGCTACGAAGGTGTCATTAGCATGGTGGGAAAAAGCTCAGACAAAAATATAGCGACAGTAGAAGTTCCTTGGGCTGCTGCACCTAGAGGACACCCCTGGAACGACAGTATCAGGGTCAAAGGGATGATGTTGGGACTGACCGTCATCGAATTGGATGTTGTCAATTATGATGATGTGAGTCTTCTTTACTGAGATTCATGAAATTTGATTGATCCCTTATAAATAAATTTCGAAAAAAATGAAGAAAAAAGACCACTTATAGACACTATCTAAAAGTCGCATATTCAAAAGGGCTCTTAGACCATATTTAGTTACTCCACACCGACAGAAAAAATTAGTTTCATCAAGAGGATTTTATTTGAATCAACTATCATTTGTCTGTTGATTTTCAAATAAACAAGATTTCATAGAATACCAGTTATCTCTTCTTAAGATACATTTCATTGGGAGAAATCAAACTTTTCTAGAATTGAAGGTCCTTTTATTTGTCGCAAAAATGGGAGTATTTAATTTCTTTCTAGCCCAAAGTTTGCTAGATTCAGAAATTCGTTGCTTTACTCAAAAATCAAAATTATTCTCATGACTAAATACGTTGTTATCTCAATCAATACGATCATACGACTTGACGCCAAAGACTGTTTTATTTAATTCAAGTAAACGTATCTCAAGAAGAAATAAGAAATGGTTCAAGTATGTAATACTTGTTCCACGAAAGAAACATCTCAATAAAAATAATTTTTTCTATCGGTGTAACACAAAAGATTGCGAACTTAAAATTGAGCGATTACAAAGCTTCCATTCGGAATCGAAAACTCACTTGAATTCATTACAACTTCAACTTCCTAAAGATGAAATTGAAGAGCTTTATGATGGATGATGACCTCAGTTATTAAAATTCCAGATAGTTACCACAACCGAAAAACTGACCGTAACAGTGATCCGTCCAGAGCGTGTAATAGACACTCTGTTCACAGTCAGCGTAGCGACACTAGTATCAATTCTGTACATAAATTTTGGCTGTGCAATGGACTGGTCCGTGTGCAGGGAGACCCTGAGTCGGCCCATCGGTCCACTCATTGGTGGAGTCTGCCAATTCCTCATAATGCCACTCGTTAGTAATTATAAACGATCCTAATTAATCTAACGAATTAATGCACCTCTATGAACTGTTCAATCTTCGTACACCTGACAAATCCTCACGACTGGAATTTATGGGACTAATTTATATTTGTTTGTTTACAGCTGGCATTTGGCATTGGACGAGTCCTATTCCCCGACAATCCCGCGATGCAAATTGGTATTTTTTTCACGGGCATCAGTCCAAGTGGTGGTGCATCAAATATTTGGACGGTTCTGCTGGGTGGAAATCTTAATCTCTCTATTGCTATGACTTCTCTGTCTACATTAGCTTCTTTTGGTAATGCACCGTTCTTATTTTTTGGCCGAAATTATTTGAAGGAAAGAATTCAGGAGCGAAACGGTAAAACGATTTATGAATATCCAAGTACTTTGGCTATTTTTTCTGCAGCAAAATGCTTTTATACTTTTGTAGTCGAACATCAGAGCTTTCATTTGAGCCTCATTCGACCCTAAGTGTCCGGATAGGGGAGGATGGGGCAAAACGGCCCCCCTTCAATCGTCAATATTTTCCGATTCACTAATCGGATTGGGATGAGTTAGAGCTCGTTTTGAAGAATGAAAAATTATCTTCAAAATGAACTCGAAACTGGGAATTTTCACAATGTCATTCACAAGTTATTGACAATTGAAGGGGGGCCGTTTTGCCCCACCCTCCCCTACTTTACAATGATTTTATCATTTAAACTTTGCAGGTCTGAATTTAAATCTCGATGTTGAAGCGTTAGAAAATATTTTTTTAGTCTTAAAAAAAAATTGAAAGTTTACTTTTGGAGGAAGATTGATGAAATAATTAGCATATTCTATAGACAATTTATGAATAATCAATTGGTAACCATAAAAATCATTTGTTGGGAATCGTAAAAAATTTATTCATATTTAGAATTTTACCAGAAACCTATTTCTGAAAATTGTTGAATTTGCAGCGTGGTGTGTACCAAACTGAAAAAGACTTAGAGCGACTTGAGGGCTATAAAAAATATAGCGACAAAAATTTTGCAAAAATTGAAAATAGGCCAGCAATCAAAATCAACTTAAATCGTTTTACCACTTCGCTGCTGAATAAATTCATGGAATCAAGTTAATTTTGTTAATCATCCTCTGTTAATCAGCGACAATACCTTTCTGGATTTTCACACTTGGAAAATACATTTTCGACAGTGGAAATCTCATAATCCCGTACAAAAGGATAGCCTACATAGCAATCGGCCTCGTGGTACCCGTGGCGATAGGATACTTAATCCAGAAAAAGTTGCCAAGAGTATCCAGGATACTGGTACGGTTCATGAAGCCGTTCGCCGTCATTCTGATTCTATTCATCGTTACTTTCGCTGTCTTCACAAACTTGTACCTATTTGAGCTGTTCTCCTGGCAGGTAATGATTTAGTTTCACTATCTTGTGGCTCACTCGATGAAAATGTTTTTGTATTACAGATTGTGTTGTCGGGTATGGGATTACCCTGGCTAGGTTTTATTTGCGGTTTGCTGGCGATGACAATCTGCCGGCAACCGCAAGCCGACATTCGTGCGATTGCGATTGAGACTGGCATTCAAAACACAGGAATTGCTATTTTTCTGTTGAGATTCAGCTTGAAGCAGCCGGCTGCGGATTTGACGACAGGTAAGAGCAAAATTCAGAATTTAAAATGAAGAGAAGAACTTGTCTCCAAAAAGTTTTACCCTCATGACCCGTATATCTCTTCGCGTATTTCAAACGTAAAGCGATAGAAAAGATTAATACGGCAGAGGGGATAGGCAGAATGAAGCCCTGACTACACACTTTCAGTGATTAATGCTGACAGTACAAACAAAACCCAATAAAGAGAAGCAAGAGACAATATCACCCACAAGTTAATACAGACTAAGCGGCCTCTAGGGTGCAGTAGCTAGATGAGAGTATATATTTGAGTCCCCCCTTCAAATCCTTTTAGGTTCTTTTACTTCCCGACAAATTCAGAGATCTGATAACCAAGTGTTAGGTAATATTACGAGAGGCGTTATGAAAGCTCTCACTATAAAGTGATAGCTTTCATTACGATAAATTAATCATTCAATTTATTGTTTTCGAAGTTATTCTTCCTTAGGCTATATTCGTATGTTTTGTCTGTGAATAATCATTTCTGCAGACAAGCAAGTTAAGCAAGAGCAATAGGGTCATGTATGATAGCCGGCTGCAAGTTCTTTCATAAATTCCCGACGAATTTCAGTAGTCCTTGATGGGATAATGCAGCTTTTGACTACACGGAGAAAAACGTACATGACAATTACGTGTGAGTCCCTTAAAAAAATATTGTGCTACGCACTAGCAGTGCTCACCACAAAATTCGGATGGTCCACTGAAAAATTAGAAAGGGGCACTCTAATTTTTTAAGATCTTACACTACTTTTTCCTGGGATTCCCCTGATAATTCGGGTGCCACATCCGAATTTTTGGGTGACCATAGTCTAGTCCCATGGGTTGGTGAGTAGCACACTAATTTTTGCAAGAATTCTCTCTCCGTGTACATCATCTTTAATAACCTACTGTGACTGCCGACGAAAAGGTCTCCATAGTGATTTGACCACTACGAGACCACTAAGAGCCGAGTTCGAATCCCGGCTGGGCAGTATGGGATTTTTTCTCTCTAAATTCTAATTCTGTTAGAATTTTATTTTATTTTATTTTTTCATTTTTTCTTATTTAGCCGTACATTTCGGCATCGCGTAGGGTACTGTAACTGCGTAATTAGGAACAAACCCATACTTAAACCCTTGACCCTTTATTATATTACTCCATCGCGAACGATTCTGAATAATTTAATTACGAGGAATAACTGACACAATCAATTTCCCCCTATTATTTAATGGAATAATTTCTTGATTGTTGAATGTTTTTATATCTCATTCCTGTCTATTCATCTTCACTCATTAGATTATAATGTCGAAAGATAAAATCTCTTACAAAATTGTCAAACGCGATTTGGGTACTCTCACGCCTAGAATATGAAATGTAGCATTTTTGCGCAAGTTTAAATCGCAAGAAGTAATCAAAATGAAGATAAAATAGTATATTTCGATACAAGTGCGACGGATTTTTTATGAGTGGGAAGTTACAAGCCCGAAGCGAAGCCGAGGACTGCCAACCACACAGCTGAAAAATCCCCGTCGCACATGTGTCGAAATGTAGTTTTTGTCAGTGATGTTACGTTCAACGAGGGCCGAACTGTCTTGTTTCATTTAGAAGTGAATGAAAAGGCACCTTTCGGCAAGAGATGAACGTAACAGCAGTGAAAAAATAGTACATTATGTCATCGGGTGATAAAAGTACACTGAGAAAAATATCGCCATTATATCACAAAACTAATTTCTTGCGCCAAATATCTCATCTCTTGAGAATAAATTTCTTGGGATAAGAATTCCGGATAATGTGTCAGACAATCTCAGATTTCGGTGAAGTGTTCATGATTTGAACATGAACGTTTCATGATAAAGTGAGAATTTCTTGCCACAAGGAATTGGTTTTGTCCGTATCAGAAGATGTGAAAATGACTAACAATACTAAAAGCTTCGATTCAGTGAATCATGAATCAAAGACTTTCATATTGAATGACTCGAGAGTTTATGCAGAGGAAAACCTTCAGATATTAAAAAAATATAACCGTCGCTTACGCTCAATCGCTTTGAGTTTAAAGGAAAACAATATCTTCTTTTCCTTCTGTCCAACTATTCTTGTCTTTTAAGGAATATTATCTCATTTCGAAAAACGACATCACCTTTTCATTCAGTAACTTTCTCCTCAGCCCGAAGAGCACCCATTCTTGTCTGAAACCTACCATAAATTGATCAAATATGTATGCGATGTTTTTCGCTCAAGAAATTATTTTTTGATATTATGTAGATTTTTCTCTTAGTGTATTATCTGACGAATGTGGCTTTATAATCATACGAGTCAGATAATATTTTTATCGCCGTGTGATATACAATATTCTATGTCATTGAACGCGCTTTCTCGGGCCTAGTGATATAAATTAATTTTACATCTACATTTTACGAATGAATTTACACTCAATTAATTAATGATATAAAATTTTTGCAGTAATTCCAGTTGCCTGTTCAATGATGACACCACTCCCTCTAGGGATCCTCTGGCTAATAAAATTAGTAGTAGATCGTCGAAAAAAAAAGTACGTTCCCTCTATGGAGAAACTGCAAAGCGAGGTTCCACTCGCTACAACTCCCTCGTCAGTAGTTTCTAACTGATGCGACTAAAACCGAGCATTTACTACTTAATTCGCCAGTAGACTGGAGGGTAATGAGGCTCAAGGATCCTTATCATCCTTGAATTTCATTACATAGATCGGAGGCAGTTGTTTTATTCAAAGATTAGAACGTAGTTATAACTAGTAGTTGTTCCACTTTCTACGAATCGTACTACACGGAGAGAAATGTTCAGTAAAAATTACGGAACTCACAATTCGCTCACCGATTACGCAATCGACTCTGAAAATTTAAGTGACGGTATCGTAATTTTTCACAGGAGATTCAGATAAAAATTACGGAACGCTCTGGAAAAATTCCGTGGCAGTTCTGTAAAATTTCCTACAATCACATTTCACTCCGGAATTACGGAAAAGATACGTAATTTTTATTGAATATTTCTCTCCGTGTACTATTGCGGACAAGTGAATCAAAGAAGAATGTCTTCGTATTTCCGTGCAGTGGAAAAAAATACTCGAAGAGGAAAAATTATCTACCTGGCTCAAATTGAGAAATTGTTGTTGTTTAATATTCTCTGAGATTGGAGAGTTCAATATTTATTAAGCCTAGATGAGTCTGAGATGGGCTACCCAGCGTTGAACGTTGAACGAATCCATCATTTTTGTACAAAAAGAATTATATATAAGAAAATTTTATATACGGTGAGGGTTACGGTGGAAATGTCTAGGAAAAATATCCAGTATGGAATATCCTCATTTTAACCCTTAAGTGGTGGCAGCTCTTCATCGAACGTGTTTGGTCGCATGGTAAGAAAATCCCCGCCCCGTGTATTTCACCATGTCATGAAAAAAAGTTGGAAAAAGTAATTCATTTCTTGTTTATCCGTAATTTTGAATCTTCAATGGATAGAAAATGGGGACATAAACGAGAGATTGTTGTCAGATAAAACAAGAATTCGATCTCATTAGGGTGCTGCGCATCCGTGAATTCTTGCCTACCCCTGTCATGACAAAATAGTATATTTCGACACATGTGCGAGGAGAATTTTTCGGATCGTATGATTGGCAACTTCACATTCGTGACAATTCCATCTCACTGGTATCGAAATATATACCATTTCATCACGCGGTGCGAAAAAGTAACTTTTTAGGCACGCGACGCCTGCCTAAAACGTCCCTTTTCCACACATTGTGATGAAAAATATTGTTCGATACTCGTGGGAAAAGTGTTTTTTGGCTGGTGGGAGGTTTATAGCACGAGCCGAAGGCGAAAAAACACTTTTCCGCACTCGTAACGAAATATACTATTTTGACACTGCTGCTACCTTCACCCCGTGTCGAAAAGTGCCTTTTCGTTTACTCGTAGACGAAAAGCCTTTACTACTCAATTCTTAGAGCTCGTGTCATTGGCAACTTCACAGTCGTGAAAATTCCGCCTTTCTCATATTTAATTATACTATTTTGACTGTGATGTTATGTACAGCGAATGCTGAACTGTGCCTCTTTTTCGTTTACGAGCAAACGAAAAGACTTTTCGTTTACACTGAGAGAAATAGTATATTTCGTAACGAGTGCAAAAAAGTGTTTTTTGGCGAGTGGGAGGTTTATATCACGAGCCGAAGGCGAGTGATATAATCCCACGAGCTAAAAAACATTTTCTCACGAGTTACGAACAATATTTTTCATCACAATGTGGCGGAAATTCAAACGTTTCGTCACCGCGTGATGAAAAATATGATTCTTCTGACTATATTCCATCACCATCGAATTATAGTCAAAAAGTCCTCAACAATTTACGTTAAACAATTGACGTTTTTTAGACGGGGAACTACATAGTATGCAATATTTTTCTAGATACAACTTCATCTGCAGAATTCCTTGACTCCCGACGAATCTCATTGTCATTTCCCCGAACATATGGACTATAACGAGCCCTCCTGAGCTGCTACTTAAAAGTGTCGGACTGTAGCGAAAGAGAAATAATGGCTGTGTTGCAAAATGCATTAAATTATACGCGTCTGCCGATTAAAGTCTGCAATATCTGTTTTGAAATTCGAAAAATTATCACTGGTTGATATTCTCGTATTAGAAATTTTAAACTGGATATTTTTCACCGGATCAACAGTTACCACAATGGGGAGATGAACCCATTCTTTTCGGTTTTCTTTAACCCTGAAATGGAAAAGTGTAGAAGCTCCCATTATCTTCCACTCATAAACTGATGCCATTTTTTCAATGATTTGAATTATCTCTTTGGGATGAACTTAAAACTCATTGGACGAATTCGACTATATTATCAGCCATATGCGACATTGTTATTCTGTAGTTCATCCACCCAATGTGACAATCAAAACTGTAATAATGTTTATGGTTTATCTACTTTGTTGAAGAAGATACTGTTTTTTATATAAAGTTTTTAGAATGATCAAACACTTTTGTCAATTACTCCCTATAAATCCCTCTCCTCACCCATGTTTACCCAATCGCTGAGTTTGTGCAGAGCTTTAAATACCCTAGTTGTCACTGCGTCCACTTCGCTAATAGAATTAAGGGGAGACTACTATGAGTTTTAAAAGTCGCGGGTGATTGGAGTGAGATTTCTCCTTCTTTGTAAAAACGAATAATTAGGGCAAAAAAATCAATTGTTTATTGTTCGTTTGCCTAGCATACGCTTAAAATAACAATTATAAATAACGAGAGAATAATAAGAGGATAACCATTACGAATTAGTCTTTTGCAATTCGGTTCCTCTACAGCTAATGTCGTTTTATTTAAAATAAAAATTTGCAACATTCATGTTTAAATAGGCAAAAAAATATCCTTAAAATATTTAAAATCTATCCTCGATTCTTTTAGAAACATTTTTGGGACTATTTTACATGAATGGTGCAATTTTTAATTAAAAAAAAAAACAAATTCGCTGTGTAGGAGTCGAATTTCAAAAAAATTATTCGTAATTGTTATTGCGCACACTTTTGCAAAAATTTTGAAAAAAAAAAATCTCTAGCTCAGAAATTGGAGTAACAATGAACAATTAATTTTTTTGTTCCAATTGTTCGTTTTTAGAAATGAATAATCGATCTTCAATGTATGAAACATTTCATTCCAATAGCCCGCGACTTTTAAAACTCATAGTAGTCTCCCCTTAAGGAATCGCAAAAAGCCTTGTGGGAAAAATAATGTTTATGCCATTAGACCCGATAAACCGCGATTTTAACCTCGCTTCGCTCGGGTTAGATCGCGGTTTTCGGGCCCAACGACATAAAACAGCGTATATCACATGGCGATAAAAGCATTTTATCGGCTTTGGCTCGGATTATAAAGCCACATTCGCCAGATAATATTTTTATCGCCTAATGACATAATATACTATTTTTCCAATCGAGAGGAAAATTTCCGGTCGCTTTATTTACAATACGTTATGTAAATTTTTGGGTATCCTGTCATGCACCGAAAATCCACCAAGTTATTTTTGGGGTTGCGGCACATGGCTTGATGACGCGTGACGAGGTATCCTCGATTGTTAATACCGAGGAGTGTCGGAAGATGCTTCAGTATGAAAAAAAGCGTAGTGAGGTAAAGCCTGCACGTGGAGGGATGGAATAAGCGTTGTGAATAAATAATGGGCGAGAAGCCAGGGGGAATGAGACATTTTAGTGAACATAATGCAAAAGCTGGACAGTTGGAAGGCTAACGAACCTCTCAGGGATTTTATGCGTCATTTCTGGGTAATGAGTAACTGATGAGTTAAATAGAATGGCATTTCGTTTCGATTGGGGTTTTGGAGGGATTTTTTTTACTGGTGGAGATGACGATGAAATGAAAAACATATTACTCATTTATTTGTAATATGTGAAATCCGAGGAACTGGAAGAAATTATTCCTAAAAATTTTCATAGAAAGAAAATTGCAATACATTGTACGCAAAAGTCGAAATCTATCAACTGTTTGACTATTCAAAGATCTATTTAAAAAATCATCCTGCAACATTGCATAATCTTGAATAGATCTCGGCGAAAAAACAAATAGAATTTCAACAGAATTATAATAGAAACTGAGTAGAATTTCCTGCTTTTTCTTCTTATATGTCAAATCGTCGAAAATCAATCAAATATAAGGCGATTAGAAACATTCTCATTATTACGTTTTTTAGATTAGCGGCAACTTTTTTTTTCGAATGGAAAAATGCATATCTAATATTTTTCATCTAATTTTCGTGTCTCATAATTCCATTCAATTCGAAAATTTAATTCAACAACCGAATGTTGAAAATCATAACGAAAACTATTACGAAACAAGTCGCATTCAACGAGAGATCTTCAGTCAAGCTGAATATCCCTGGAATTCATCAAAATATTTTCGTTGAAATTGTCCGAGAAATACACAAATTTTGTTAAACAACTATATTACCAATGACGAATATCCAAAATTCCTGAGAACTTAGTTTCATTTATTAACGACTCGTATCCGCGCCGTGATAGTTTGGGCTGTATTCAAAAAAATCACCTCTTCCATTTTAATGAAAAACTATTTTGGCACGAATTTCCATACCGATGAGACAGAGTTGTTGGGGTGTTACATTAGAGATATGTGCGATATCCCTGGGACGAGGCGTCGACGATTCAAATGTACCGTGAAACCACGGGCGATTCATACGAACTGTGTCTCCATTTATTCTGCACGGGTATTAGTTTTTCTTGAAGATGTAATCGTGAATGTCTAGAGGTTCTATATCAATCTAGTGCTGGATCTTATACACTTGTCATTGAGATCATAATGGAGGATAACTTTTTAGGGTACACGTGGAGATGGTTATTTATCCAATGACTTGATGACTAATTTAACATCAAAGAAATGAAAATTGAACATTCCAAGAGGGTAATTCTTGATTATTTTATTCACTAGATGTTCGTATTTTACTCATCGCAAACAGTTCTGTGCGAATGAGACAATTGAATGGAAAAACCTAGAATTTGCCCTAAAAAATTTCATTAGAAATTAGTTGGAAGATGCTGTTTGCTTTTTGCACTGATTCTGTTGGAACTGATGCGACTTTATCGTGCACTTTTCATCAATAAGTATTTGATAGAAAAACGTCAGTAGGTGTTGACTTTAAAAAATCGCACAGCGGTTGCATAGTTTTCAATAGAATTGGCACAAAAGATGAATCGAATTTTTCAATAGGATTGTTGTAGAATTCTTGTAGAGTTCTTAGAGAACTTTAATAGAATTTGTTTTTTTTTATTGAATTTTTTCGTACGTCTCTAAAAACCCACACACGAAAACAATTAATAGAAAAACCTGGCGAAGTCGCTAGAAAATTCTAATAGATTTCTATTCTTTTTAAAGATTGATGAAATGAAAAAACTTCAAGTGCTTGGGAGTTTCCTCAAATTGAGGAATGTGTTAATAATGGTTGATAAACCCTAATTTGATTAAATTTCTATTGAAATTTTATTAGTTTTCCGTTAATTTTTTCGAGAATTCCGTGCTCCTTTCAGAATTCCATTCTGGGCGATTTTTTCAGTAAAAAATATTCGACAGAAATAATTATATAGCGAAAGAAATGGACGAATAGAATGTTTTAATAGAATTGTCGTAGAATTTTTATCGAGTTCATAGAGAAATTTAATAGAATTCGTTTTTTTTTAATTCTTTCGTAAAACTGCAAAGTCGCTAGGAAATTCTATTAAATTCCTATTGAGCTTCTATAGAAAATTCTATTGGTTTTCCGCCGATTCTCTTGAGAATTCCGCGCTCCTCTTTTTTGGGTGTTTTTTTCAGTAAAAAATATTCAGCACGAACTATTTTATACAGAAAGATCTATAGAATTTCATTGGCATCCATTCCCCAAGTTTCTTCCACAGTATTTGTCTTCGTTTCTCATTGAAAAAATCGAATAATAAACTTGAGAAATTTAGGCAGAAAAATTTCTATGTCAAACATCTCAATAGAATAATTTGTATAGAAAAATGAAATTTCATGGATTGTGTCCATAAAATATTTTCTATGATCATTTATATCGAAAAAATACGCTGGAAAGCGAAAGAATTTTCCAGCAGAATAGACGAATGCACTGATTTTTTCTAATTTTTCTAATTTTTCTAATTAATTGCACAAAAAATATCGAGGAAGTTCATTAACGAAATACTCCTCCCTCATTATTTCATCATTGTCTGGCTCATGACCTAGTCAACTGGAATGCATTCTTCCCCTGAATTACCCGTCCCAAAGAATAAAAGAAAAATATCTTTGATGATATTTTTACCTACTCTAGTTGCAACAGGTGGAGTCTCTAAGCTGTGAAGGAGGATAACTGTTGTAATGGATTGCATGATGTTTCAACTCGGTTTGTACTATTTTTTCTCCTCATTTTCAAGAATGAGACTACTTGATATATCTTAAAATCCACCAGTGCGTGAGCGTCCTTCTCCCCTCATTTGCCATACCAGAGCCTTAGACGCGCGCACTTATAACATATTTCATTTTTCGTTGGTCTGTGTCACGAAAGATACTATTTTTGTGTACCCAAACCAACGAGACGAAAATTTCTAGCTGGTTTTCCTACGATACGACAGTTGACCACCAGGCCTTTATATCCTCCGGTGGAGACAAACGTCTCTTCAGGTACACTGTGTCCGTCGTCAGAGGCATCAATATGGTAAGACATCATTGTCTAATGATTATTGTGAATACCAACGAAATTAGTGAGTGAGCTATTGTGAATTGTGACAATTCCTCGATTATTCCATGTTATTCGTAAATTCTTTAGATTTATTTATGAGGTCTTGGCGGATTTCTTGGCGAAGATGTATGAGCTATCATGTTCGAAAAGTGATGTGTTACTTGCGGTGTACAAATAGCTGTTTAATACCTATTCTAGTTGGCATTTCGGCATTCGCGGAATTTCTTGTACTACTTTTCTTTATTATTTTTGTCGACAGGAAACCCCCCAGAGAGTAATTTATATGCATCATAAATTATTTTACTGTAATCTGGAGTATTCACACTTTTTCATGTATAAAGTGTACAGCCTTGCGAGGCGTTTTGCATTTCCATCGGTTACATATTATTCAGAACTGACTTGGTTTTTAACAGTCCATCCGTTTATTTGATCTTAACAATGTATTCTCTTATCGTTCTTGTTATTTCGCTTGCACTCCTAGATTCACAGTCATGTTTACTTGAGTAACTATTTGCATATATTAGTGTTTATTCATCTTTTATACTTCTTTTTCCGCTATTACGTTCGTTTTCACCGACGCACGAAAAAATTTAATAAACAAACTTAGCGAATTCGTTAGAAAATTCTATTGGATTTCTATTAAACTTTCTATTTATATAACTTATTCTCTTCAGATATTTTCATAGAATTCGCTCGGTTCACATTTTCTAAGTTTTTTTCATTTTATTTTTCTTTTCTTCTCATCAAGAAAATCAAACAAAAAAACTTGGAAAATATAAGCCAAGGAAATGCTATAGAAACTATTTCAATAGAATAACTTGTATAGAAAAATCGAATGCTTCTAACTTTTTCTATAAAATATTTTCTATTAAACATTTCAATAGAATCGGCCAAAAACTAATAAAAAAATTTAACAGAAGTCGAATAGAATTGTCTAGGGAATTCACTAAGATTTTCTATAAAATTTGTTCACCCCTGGGAAATCATGTTTGTCAAAAGTAATATTTTCCTTTAGTGCACTATTCTCTCATTTTAGAAAATGAACAATATTGTTGAAAAAAATCCGTAATCACGACTGAATGAATTTGATTGAATTCGCAGGAGGAAGACGAGCAGAAAACAGCAGTGATGCGAAAGGCATTCCAAATGTTCGACACAACAAAGAGTGGCTTCATCGACACTCTGAAGATCTCCACGATCCTCAATACCATGGGTCAGCTGTTCGACGACGCTGATCTCAACGCCCTGATTGAGGAAAATGATCCCGATCACGTTGGCAAAGTGAACTTCGATGTCTTCTGCAAAATCGCTGGACGATTTCTCGAGGAGGAGGACGCCGAGGCCATGCAGGAGGAGCTCAAGGAAGCCTTCAGACTCTACGATCGCGAGGGCAATGGTTACATAACAACAGCCACCCTGAAGGAGATTCTCGCTGCATTGGATGACAAACTAACTAGCTCGGATCTCGATGGCATCATCGCTGAAATCGACACCGACGGCTCTGGCACCGTGGACTTTGACGGTTCGTAGAGAATTTTCTCCCCCCGGTTCAGCTCATCACTCATCTCTAATGAGGTGGCTTTTTTTAGATGACAAGTTATTACACTCGACTAACGTGTTTGCTTCTAATTTCAGAGTTCATGGAGATGATGACTGGAGAGTAGATGTCATTTCCTGCCGTTGGACCTCATTTGTCAAATTATGAAGTAAGAAGAATTGGACATCTTCGGGGAGATGATCGGAAGATTGTGATTTCAATTAAATTCGGTGATCGAGGCGGTTCATTACACTTGACGTGGTGATAATGATTGAAGAAAATCGGAGGATCCTCACATCATTCGACTAAATTCGTCCCTTGGAATTGAATTGATTACTGACTAGCGATAGTGATTAAGCGATAAATAAACAAAATTTTCTATTCAATTGTGTTGACTCGAAGCTTTATGCCCTCCCATGATTGACGAGTAGAAATTATTTACTGGGCGTTATACTGTTAGAGAATGACTTCTGAAATTTCACGTAAAAAATCGTGTAATTTTTGACAATTACTCATTCACACAAAATTTTCAATGTATTTTCAATGGAAGTGCAATTTTCAGGTCTACATCATGATGAAAATGATTGAATAATTAGAATATTCAGGCAGAAAATACATTTGAAATCTGGATATGGTGTGCGGTATACCGTATTCCTATCGCTGTTTACGTTTTTCCCAAGATATCCGCCCTCTCACTCCCTTCGATTCCTACGTGAGCAGGTACCCAGAAAAAAGTGATTTCGCCGTGATCTCTGTCGTCATTATAAAATTCGGAAAATTTCCATTTTATTTGAAGGATGTGAAAATTAGTTTTTTCACACCCATGGACGGAAAGTTCGTACTTTGCTCCCTGGTAGGGTAAGCTAACCAGTAGATGGACACCACCCTATAGATGGACGAGCTACTTTTGGATAGGAAATTACGCAAAAAATACTGAAATGCGAATTGTTGTTTTGAATTTTCACTAACTGTTGTGATTCTTAACCCCTGAGTGACGATTTTTTTTCGATCAATTTTTTTTTTAATATCTAAAAAACAAATGTCCATCTACTGGGCGGTTTTCTCAGGCGTCCATCTACTGGGCAGTTTACCCTAAGCGGGAGAAGAGTTGCCCTCTCGGGCGGAAAGTACTGATTGAAGTACAGTAGAGGCTTCGTATAAGATACCTTAGGGACAGTAGGAGAGTAGAATTCTGGGAACCTCTATACCCCCACTACGCGCGCCCATAAAGAGGAGAAAAATAGCAATCAACGGGTTTCAAATAAGATACCTCGCGCGTTGCGCCCGAATTCAATGAAATTTTCACTTTTACTGAATGAATATCGATAACTACTCAATTTATATGTGTGTAATGTTTTGAATTTATATCGCCCGCGTTCCTTTTTCTCTCCAAACATAACTCCGCGTGATAGAATGGCAGTTGATGTTGGGGGATTGTTGGTGGACTCGAGAATAATCACAGACGAAAAATTACGTTTTTTCGATGGGAGAAGTGAAAAAAAAATCGATGTATATTTCCAGTACTTGAAAAAAGTGGTGTGACCCCACCTTAAGGTCATTAGACCTTAACACCATTTGATCCATTTGACCATTTGATTTGTTTGCAACTACTCTCTTCCTGTTGAAAAATGACCGGGGCCATGGGTATCTCATAAGAAGCCCACGGAACGTAACATTCAGGAGACGATAGAAGTGCCGAGAGCGGAAGTAGGCCTCGAGCGTTCGGAGTGCGAGGTATCTTATAGAGAGGTATCTTATACGAAACCTGTGCTGTACTCTCATGAATGAAGGGTAGAATTCACTTGCTGCCGATTAGAATTAATGCGCCAAATTGTGAGTTGAGAAAAATTGGAAGTCTTCGGAAAAATGTTAACGGTGATCGGAAAATTATGTTTTCAATTCAATTCGTTAAACGCGATGATTCGTTACTTGAAGTGATGATATTGATTGAAGATACCCAGAGAGTCCTGCTATCAGTAGGCTAATTCGTCGATTGATGGTGTTCGATTTATGATGGTAAAAGAAGATTAGTTTCAATATTTCGACGTCTGGAATCCCATTATTAAAAAACTAGTATTAAAGAAATCAACGAAGAAACATATAATTAAGTATGCAAGACTAGCTTATTGTGTGTAGCATGGGATACGTGTTGTTTTTATCTCCCTGCACTCTCATGATCGAAGAGTAGAATTCATTCGCTGCCGATTGGACTTAATTCGCCAAATTACGAGTTGACAAGAATTGGAAGTCTTCGCAAAAATGTTGACGGTGATCGGAAGATTATGTTTTCAATTCAATTCGTTAATCGAGATGACTCATTACTTGAAGTGATGATATTGATTGAAGAAAACGAGAGAGTCCTCAGATCAATCGACTAAATCCGTCCATCAGAACTAAATTGTTTACTCACTAGCAATAGTGATTCAGCCAAATTACGAGTTGAGAAGAGTTGGAAGTCTTCGGAAAAATGTAGACGTTGATCGGAAGATTATATTTTCAACTCAATTCGTTAATCGAGATAGTTCATCGCTCGAAGTGCTAATATCCATTGAACAAAACCAGAGAGTCCTCACATCAATACACTAAATTCGTCCATTAATGACCGTAAATGAAGAAAACAACGTATTGCGTTCAAGAGAATTTATTAGTTTCAATATTTCAACATCTGTAGCCCCATTATTAAAAAAATAGTATTAAAGAAATCAGTGAAGAGAAAAATAATTAATCACTCAATAAGAGCTTATTGCATGTAGGAAGTTTCTACTTGGTCTACGTGGTAAACCATGACACCTGTGACGTAGATGTTGGGTGCGAAGAGAGCGCTCTTGGCGAGTGGTCTGTCCAAGGGCCACCCCAAGGGCTTGTTGTCAAGGGACACAGCGCCACCGATAACGGTGCTGATGTGTTTTCCCTGATAGTATTTCTTCAGGTATTCGACGTTGTGCTGGTGGTGGCTGTAGACACCCTCAACATTCTGGATGATCTCCTGCTGGTAGACTCCCTGGACTCCTTCGACTCCTTGAACTCCTGGGTAGACGGTGTGGACACCTTGTCCAAGTATTCCTACCGGGACACCCTGTCCGAGGATTCCACCCTGGACACCCTGGACACCCTGTCCGAGGATTCCACCCTGGACACCCTGTCCGAGGATTCCACCCTGGACACCCTGTCCGAGGATTCCACCCTGGACACCCTTGTGGAGAACGCCCTGATGCACGCCCTGGACGGTGTGAGTGTATGGCATCTGTCCGATGACCTGGGGCAGCTGTTGTCCATAGAACTGAACCTGTTCACTGGGAATTACTCCCACCTGGTGCTTGTGGATCATGGCGGGGAAGGGGAAGCTCGTGGGGTACTTCTTGTAGAGATAGTTTCCGTAGTAGTACTTCAGCTTCTCAACCTGTTGTCCGGTTAATCCAGCCTGAGAGGTCTGGACGGGCACAACATCGACTGTCTGCTGGGTGCCGACGTTCACTTGCCCCTGGATCACCTGTGGGTACTCATTGACACTGACAACCTTGTAGTTTATGATCTGGTAGTTCGTCAAGTCAGGTGTGACGACAGGTCCGTACGTGATTTGGGTGGGCTCAACAGTGTGGATGACCACCAAGACCTGGAGTGGAAGACCGCCGTACTGTCCCTTGGGGATGGAGAGCCTGGCTGGGAATCCGAAGATCTGGTGGGGCTCGTGGACGTAGTAGGGGTTCTGGCTGCGGATTGCGCTCTCGAGGTGAACCTTCAGGCTGCTGATGGATGGGTAGTCGTAGCTGAGGTGGGGGGCGTGCTGGGAGTCCCTGACGATGACGTTCTGGCCCTGCTGTAGCTGGTGAACAAACTGGTCGAGCTCAACGAAGGACTGGCGGTGGGTGTTGATGTCGACGATCTTGCCGTTGTGGTCGAATTTCGGCCCAAGGTAGACGCGGACTACTGCGTTCTGGATTGGCTGCTCAGCGGTAACCACGATCTTGTACTCGTAGGGCTTGTGGTTCAGTCTTGCCACTTGAGCCTTGATGTGGACGTTCTGTTGCTCGACCGTTTGGGGCTGGTTGACAGCGTTGTTCAGGCTGATCTGGTACTGCTCGAAGTAGGTTACAAGGTCGGGGAAGACTACCTCCTCGATCTTAACTGTGGGGAGAACGATGTCGTTGTATTGCCATGCTGGGAGACCGTTCTGGTAGTGGTTGAAGAGGTTTATGATGTATTTGCAGAGGGAGAAGAAGACGGGGTCGCGGACAGCGGTCTCGTACTGGTCGAGGACTGATGGGGTGTAGTCCCAGATGCTGAGGAAGTCGGGCACGTTGCCGAGGAGTTGACGAGCTGCGGCCTGGAGGCTACCGTAGTACCTTGGGTTGACGCTCTTGCCGACACCTTCGATCAAGTCTCCGAGGATGTTGAGACCCTGGGGCTGGTAGAGGGAGAGGAAGGACTGCCCGGGGGTGATTACGTGGCCAGAGTCAATTGCTTGCATGAGCCTCTTCTCGAGTGTCTGGACCTTCTTGATGAGCTTGTGGTGCTTGGGCAGGAGGTCGAGGTAGCTGCTGCGTCCGGGGTAGGGGAGGCCGTTGATGTGCATAAGGTGGGGATGGTAGGAGATGTCTGGCTGCTCGAGGTTCAGGTCCTTGATTGGGCCGAGGGAGTTCGAGTAGCGGGCGAGGTTGTAGTGACCGAGGAGCTGACGGTGGAGGTAGTAGTAGATTGAACCACGTCCGATGTGAACTTGGGTGGTCTCATCCTGGACGCCGTGGATTTTCTGCTGTGGGAGGAGAATATGATTACGTGGTTGTCGAGATGAATTCGCTGGAGAATTCTATTGGATTTCTATTAGTTTTTGGCCGATTCTAGTGAAAAATTCCGCAGGGTCTGCGCTTTTTCTCAAATGACATCTTCAGTGTAAAATATTCCAGGCCCGTTTTCAATGAATATCTCGGGATCTAAGGGGGATAGCAAAATTTCTGTCACGACCTTTTTTGTAGCCCTTAATTCGCTCTACGAAAAAGGTGATTAGAAAAATTTCGTTATCTTCCTTAGATTCGAAGATATTCTGCACAAAATTGAAACCTGAATCGATTCACACTGTTTTAGCAATCCGCTACTGAACAGCGAATATTCTATTGAGTTATTTCCCACAGAAATTCGAGAAACGCCTATAAAATGAAATTGAAATGTCTCAGTAGAAAAAGTTGTACAGAAAGATGAATTTTCACTAATTCCATTGCAAACTCTTCAATAGAATCGGCCAAAAACGAATAGAATTTTCTATTCACTATTTATTACTTCTGGGGTTATCAATCCACCGAGACCAAGGTAGGCGTTGTACAGGGAGAGACCGATGTCATGGGTGAAATAGCTCAGGTATTGCTCAGCCGTTGGCAGGGAGTCAGTGTAATTGACATTGATGACGACAGTCTGTTTAGTGAGTGGGTTGTTCACGACGTTTTGTGCCTGTTTGATGACTCTGTTGTCGATGTAGTGCTGGGGCAAGATCTCGTAGAGTGCTGGTGGTACGATTCCCTGGGTGTCCGGGCGGACGAGGATAGCGGCGATCAAGGCCTTGACGAATTGCTCCTCGTTGACGGTGACGCGAGCCCAGGCGGCGGTCTTGATGAAGGTGTCGTAGTTCTTGGCACCGATGAGGATCCTCGAGAGAATGGCAACTTCTTTGCGGAGGGTGTTCACGGAGATTGAGAAGGGAGTTCCCTTTGGCTGGATCTCACCCAATTTCACAAGCGTCAGGTAGTAGTTGACGAGTTCGGGTTCAGTGTATTCCTGGACGTTTTGCTCGATGTCGTAGGTCAGACCGAGTTGCTGGTACTGCTGGTTGGGAATTGGCTGGAGAATCTGGTCCAAGAGGTTGATTATGTCCAGCTGCTTCTTCAGCAAGTCCTGGTCGGCTGAATATTTCAGATAGATTTTGCATTATTCTTAGTAGTGCTTTGGACGGTGGCTGAACGAGGCTAGAAGACGGCCACTGCCGCAAGGGTGGGGGGATTGGCACATTGAAAGGCTCTAGGCCTGGGAGAACGCAACACACTCTTGAAAAAAGAACCTGTGCCGACCTCTGTATAGGGCAGTGTCCCTGAAGGGGGGTAGGCTAAATCAATGTTGAATGTTACTAGTGCTTTGGCGGCAATTTTTTTCATGTAAAATCTACGTTTAGACGATAAATGGTAGAACAGTCTAGAATATTCTGAAATATTGTCCGGGTACCTAGAGAGTGCATCGATGATGAAAGGATCGCGTAAGCTCTCAAATCAATCGAGAAGTTTTTATACATTTTTACGGTAATTTTACGATCAAATCACGCAGAAGGATTTTCCGATGCGTTAGTTTCTGCGTTAATTGAGAAATTGCTAAAGATTTATAGAACATTTCAGAGGATTTTGTAACGTTCTGGACCTTTCTTGAACTGTCTAGAACCTTCCGTGAATTTCCGGAGGTACGGACATCTCAAATTATATAGTGTAATTATTCTTAGTCTAATGTCTGGACGTCTGGAGAAGCCACATGGGATTTTTCTTAGGTATTTGGAAAACTATGAATGTCTTGATTTCACTTACCAGCATGAATCTTGAGGGGCGTAGGAATGGCTGCCACTGTGGCCACCAGGGCCGCGAGTACAAGAGCGAATCTCATTGTTACAATGAGAACACAAAACCTGTTCTGTGCTTTCCACCTTGCACTACCCGGCTTTTGTACTCACTTGGTATCAATAAATTCGGGGGTATCATCAGCGGCCCGTTGACCCTGCACCATCCCGGAGATGCGATGTCTACAGTGAGATGATTAGTGGGCGTATATTCATGTCTGTTTTTCGAACGTCAGGGGTCACAGGGGTCGCCAAAAAATTTGGGTATGTGTAAATTGTTATTCTTGGCAGTGGAGTGATGCAATTTTTTGCAATTGTCATGATTCTGTGCTATCGAGATTGTTTACGAGAATTTGCTCGTGAATTTGGCAATCATACGTGATAGTTTCGAAGTTTCTTGGTGGCTTACGCGCACGACGAAATTTCATAGAAATCCCAGCGAATTCGATAGTAAATTATATTCGGATCGAAGTTGTAAAGCGGCTCAACTCTCAGCTGGGTTTTCGTGGAATAGCTGTAAATATAAGGGAGATAGCGAAATTTTTGTAATGACCTTTTTTGTAGTTCTTAATTCCCTCTGCAAAAAACGCTATAACAATAATTTTTCTATCTGTCTTATATTCTGAGATATTCACTGAAAACTGACTCGGTCAAAATCGACTTGAACCGTTTTCCGCTTCACTACGGTATTAGATTTCTATTGAAGATTCTATTAACTTTTGGCTGATTCGATTGAAGATTCCTCAGCTTTGCTGCAGGTTTTATTGCAGAAAATGTCCAATAGAAATCATTTTATAGAAAAAATCAGTAGAATGTTATATTTTTATACAATTTTTATACAATCTGCGCTTATTTTGGAATAGAAATGTTCAATGGAAAATTTTCTATAGAAATTCCTCGATGCAATTATTCTTTTTTTAAAAGATAAGAGAAATAGAATGGTAAAAACTTGGAAAATTCATGTCGAGGAATTTTTATAGAAAATGTCTCAACAGAAAAAATTGTATGAAAATGTGAAATTGTCCTGATTTTTCACATTGAGACATTTTCTATGAGTCAACATAAGTCAAAATTGATACCACTATCAATTTTCTATAAGAATTCCTTGACATGAATCTTCTATTTTTTTCCATCCTATTTTTCTTCTCTTTTCATAAAAAGAAATGAAACAAAAAAACTTTGAAAACATCGGTCGACGAATTTTTCCGCCGAGGAGCTTTATTGATTTTTTCTATACAATATTTTTCATCGAACATTTCTATTGAAAAAAGCACAGATAAGCTGCGGAATTTACTAATGCAGAATTTACTAATTTTTTTATCTAATAGAATGTTCTAGCGACTTTGCTATTAGGGTTTCCTATCAAGTTTTTTCGCACGTGTATTCTTTCATTCTCTCATTCTTTCAGTTGATTAGTTATTTTGGGATTTTTATACTTGTTTGCGGCATAAGAGATGATTGCGGAAAAAACAATGAATAATTAATTATAGAATGATTTTTTCAATCAGCGTAGACTGTTTTTCTTACTGAAGTGAGAAAATGTTAATGTTTTTTGATAAATATTGAGCAGATCGTTGATCACGACTGACCCCGTTCATCATCATCATCCCTATTGTTATCTCATTCGTTCGTAATCTACAATGTGATTTTCATCTCCGTATAAAATCTCAGAAAATCTGAGAGCCAATTACTGCAGGGAAATTGATTAGACTCATTGATTTGTGGAACCCATTAGAATGTTTCACAAATCGCGAGTCACTAATCAATGCTAATTCATTGGTAACTCAGTGATAACCACCCACGGATCCGTGTCAATCATACGCTCTCGGCCGCATTGCAACATCCCAAGCGAATTCAGTAGTGAATTATCAAAACAAGATAAGTCATCTGCAGTTGAACATAAATTTTTAGAGGATGTATCGAATTCTTTTCGAAATAACGAATTTTTTAAATATATTTTTGTAGCTGTCTTCACGTTCTCCAAAATTATTCCCACTAAAATGCTCATATTGCCCTGAAGGTTGGAAATATTCGCCGAAAACTCATTCTTGATTCCAGTTAAAGGAGTATGAATAACCTTCAGGTGAGACGTTGAGTGTAATGAGGAAAAAGAAATTCAAAACGCAAAAAAAATATTCACGATTGATCATTTTTCCGATGAATTGTAACTTGGATGAGCGTAAGAAATTGATCCATTAAATTCTTTCTTCCATTGAAGTTTTTTGCACCCAACCTTTGTGTACCCAAAATTTTCGATGACTTATCTTTCAACATTCAGTGTTAATTTCGATACTTCACTCGATATTAGCGATTATTTTTTTCTACTTCAAACGTTTTCTTTCGGTCAGTTTAAACAAAACCGAATTTTTTTCACTTCAGAATTCATGCAGAGTTGACGTCATATCATATTAAATCGAATCTGAATAAAAAAGAATGAGCTTGTGATCAGGCGATTTGTTACTATCAATTTTCATTGGGAAAATTATAAATGATGAATCATTTTTTTAAGCTTTTTGAATTTATTGTTCCTCGTTACACTCAATGACTCAACTGGAGTTTCTTGACACTTCTTTAAGGTATATCCTAAGACAATCGGACCCAAAAGTTAGTCCCTATGGATTTTCAGAAAAAATTATAAATAACTTAATTTATTGCATTTTCATAAGTTATTGAGTTTTTCGATTCTCAGGTGTTGTTGATGCACGCAACAATAACTGTTTGAATCAAATAAGAAATTATTTGTCAATTGATTTTTTTAATCGAATAAGAAGTGCTTTCACGAAATTTCTATTTTTTAGAGTTGAATATCGCCGAGGGGACACTCACTCCATAATTGAGTGCCACCACGATTTCGGTGATTCTGAGCGTCACGGGAGGTGATTTCATGATTTCAAGTGAATTCATTAATTCGAAATCAATGATTTCAGAAAAATAAAGTTAATAAATAATCGAGGTGGGGCAAAACGGGTTTCGTCAAATTATGAAAATCAAAATTGACAATAATAACTGACAAATGATAATGAATGCGTTTGATTTCACTCCGCCAATCTTGAGCTAATGATGGTACAAAGCGGTCCATTTTACAATTTAACTATGTCAGTAAGTACGACATTCTATTATCATCCTTGGCAGGCGTGTCAATTTCAAAATCACGAATTACTTGCACGGTTCGCACTACGCCAGTGCGCCACTGATTTCGGTGATTTCATTGATTTCATACGATTTCACGTGATTTCGGAGATCATTTCGAAAATGATTTCGGAGAGCAGAAATCACTTGATGTCAGTGATTTCGGTGATTTCAAGTGTTTTCGGAGTGATTTCGGAATAATTTCATGCCAGAGTGGCGCCGTGATTGCGGGAGTGAGTAGCCCCTCAAATATCGCTGAAACTATTTCACCATATTCGGTAAATTTATCAATCTATTACAGATTCGTTTTTTAAGAACATCGTAAGAATCTTTTTTCATATAAAATTAAAAAATCGAGTTCGGAGGGATCCACAACCCCCGTTTGGCCTATGCCTGTTAGAAGCCCGCATTTCGTTATTTATTAGGGGAGAGTGGGGCAAAATGAAAGTCGAAAAACGACTGTTTGACGCAATTCCAGTAAAAAAAGTTTTTTCATTCATTTTTTTTCAACTTTGTCAACTTTTGTTTATTAACTTTCTTTATTCTTGGAAGTACTGATGAGAATAATAATTTTCCATTCAGCAAAATGTAAAATTATTGAGAAGTTTTGACGGGAGAAGACTTTGTCAATGGATTAATTGAAAAGAAAATGTGATGCTGAATTTCCATCCAATGAGAAAGGAAAAGTGTAATCGGCCTAATCTAATCAATTGAATTATGAGCCAAATAGAAAATGATTATTCTCATTAGTACTCCCAATGACAAAAAAAGTTAATAAAAAAGAAAAAAAAATCTGTTGATAGAAAAAAAAATCAACAGATTGAGTTGAGTTTTCTGTTGATAGAAAAAAAAATTTTTTTTTGCTTGAATTGCGTCAAGGAGTTGTTTTTCGGCTGTTTCATTTTATCATCTTAAGAAAAACGTGTTTCCTACGGAGTCTAGTTTCAAACAATCTACCCGCCAGGTGCACAGTCCGCCCCCACGTGACCACTCCGAGGTCTTATCAACCCTGAAACCCTCCTAAAATCATCCCCTTGAAGTAAATCGATCGTCCCGCGCACAATCAGCGCCGAGTATTGAGATTCGCAATGTCCCATCTCCCTTCAATCCGCCGAATCCATCTCCCTCACTCCCTCAACCTTGAATTTCCTCGACGACCTCCCGTACACCCGGTCACCCACGGAGCGCTTCTTCTCGGCGGGTGGGGTTGTTTTTACTCCCTAAAAGCCTCATGTGCGCCTTGTGCCGAGTATACGCACTTTCCAAGTGCGTGAAGCAGCAAAAAAGTGACTAAATACGAGAGTCCATGTTTTCGTGTTGGAGACGCAAATGGGAGGGAATTGAGTGTGTGGACAATGCTCTCGTGTGCCGCGGGGATGTTTTAACCTCTCGCTGAGGGCTCAGGGATCCCAGTTGCATCGAGCAATTTCGCAAGTTCAAGCGAAAATTGAAGTTCGATGAGGATTTTTGAGTGAATAAATTTGTAAATTTAATCCGGAGAAATGTGAACCAGATGATCGAGTTCGCGGCGCTCGATTGGTAGTTCATACGAAGGGATTATCATTGTAAAAATTAAGTAAGTACTTGCATGAATGAAAATGCCACGTATTGTTTGCATTTTCAAAGTTCAAAAACTATTTCCGTCAATTCATGAAACGAGAGATTGAAACATGAAGAAATTTATTCGGGTATTATGTCATATTTATTGATTTGTAGATAGAGCAATTGCTATGTCTTCTGGAGGGAAATTCAAGCGTTCAACCAAATTTCAATATTTAGAAAGTTTAAGGGGTAACAGAGGGTCGCGTTTCCTCGAAATTTTCAAAGAAATTTCCTGCTCCAAGTTATTAATATTATTCAAACCCACAGCACATTGATCCTCATCATCTCCTCCTGGAGATTAATGTGCTTTGATTTGTAAAAATATCGATAACTTTCGGCAGGAAATTTGTTCAAAAATTTTGAAAATTGACGTCATTCTGTTACTCCTTAAGGGGACACTACTACGAGTTTTAAAAGTCGCGGGCTATTGGAATCAGACTTTTCATACATTGAATAACGATTATACATTTCTAAAAACGAATAATTAGTGCAAAAAAATTAGTTGTTAATTGTTCGTTTGCCCCACAGACGCTTAAAATGCTAAACATAGTCCAGGGCCTCCAATTTTTGAGCTACAGAGGTTTTTTAAATATTTTAAGGATAATTTTTCTGCCTATTTCACATGAATGGCGCAAATTTTTATATTAAACAAAACGAACTTAGATGTGCAGGAGTCGAATTTCAAAAAAATAATCCATCATTGCTATTGTGCATATTTTTTCAAAAATTTTGTAAGAGTCAAAATATGAGGATCAAAATCTAAGCGTGAACATCTAATGCTCAAAATCTAAGGGTCATTTATACTCATTTATCAATTCGTACAAAGAATACTATTGTCTTCTAGGAAAAGAAAATTTCCAAACATTAAAAATCGATTGACAACATTCGTGAAATCTTCATCAATTGTCCTCCAAATCCCCCAAAAACCCTCGTTTTCATTCCTCCGAATAGAAAGCACATCAAATTAAATCAGCCGCTAAATCCACCTCATTCTCCCCGCTCCGAAACGGACTTCACTCCCGCAATTTCAAATAACCCGCTTCTCCCCCACCACTTACCCGCCGCTCTCCGCGCGTTCCAAATACTCCCCTCCCACACATGAAATAACACAAGCTCTAACCTCGAATACCAGTGCATGGAAGGACTCAGTGCTCAGTATTTTTTCCCCCAATCCTCAATAAGTACCCCACAGTATCAAATGTGGATGAACCCCAGTCCTGCATGTTGCTGTTGGATGGAATCACCGGTGAAATTAACAGTTTGATTGACTAATTAAGGATGGTGCAGCGACCGGTGGTGCCTCGACGTAACGTCAGGATCCTCCTGATCGGTGATCAGGGTGTGGGTAAGACCTCCCTGATCCTGTCGTTGGTGAGTGAAGAGTACGCCGAGGAGGTGCCCCACAAGGCCGAGGAGATAACGATACCAGCGGACGTTACCCCCGAACAAGTGCCCACCCACATTGTCGACTATTCGTCTACCGAGCAAACTGAGGACCAACTGATGGAAGAGATCCAAAAGGCTCACGTTATCTGCGTCGTGTACTCAGTCGACGATGAGGATACGTTGGACAGGGCTGCCAGCTACTGGCTACCACTGGTGAGAAAGTGCTCGACTAGCAACAGATGTCCTGTGGTGTTGGTTGGAAATAAAATTGACCTCGTCGACTACTCCACGATCGAGGCGGTCTACCCCATCATGAAAGAATTCTCGGAGATTGAGAGCTGCATCGAGTGCTCGGCGAAGACTCTCCAGAACATCTCGGAGATGTTTTATTATGCTCAGAAGGCGGTGCTGCATCCAACCACTCCGTTGTACAATTACGATACTCAGGAGCTCACGGAGGAGTGCAGGAGAGCTCTGCAGAGAATATTCAAGATCTGTGATCTCGATAACGATGGCCTGCTCAATGACATGGAGCTGAATAACTTCCAGCAGTCGTGCTTCAATACTCCTCTGCAGCCGCAGGTGCTCGAGGATGTCAAGGCTGTACTGTCGAAGAATATTCATGATGGCACTTGCAATGGCTGTGTTACCATGAAAGGTGAGCGAACTGATCTGGTTCTGGCCATGGCTTTTTCGGAGGTTCTGAGTGCGAGTTGGAGCACATTGTTGGGGAAAATTAAAATTCCATGGACACTTGACTCAGTCGTGTTTTCAGGAGAGTGACATTGAATTTGATTTAGGGAGAAAAAAATATGATATTTCAGATTGCAATGGGAATTCAATGAAATTCTGTTTTTTAGCAGCAAGAAGACGAGAATTTTCTAACTTACTTGAATTTTCAGTGAAAAGTGAAGAAATATCGCGGAATTTTCAATTAATTGAAAGCTCAAGAATATATTTACGTGAATTTTCCTAATTTCTCTCAATTTTTATGGAATACATGCACTGGAATTTACAGTTTCCATTTCTTTTTTCATAAAATTTTGAATTTTTAATGACAGAATTGCTGAAAATTTCAGGGAAACTGTAATGGAGTAAAACTTTTGAAGAAATTTCAGTCAAAAACGTTTAGCAGTAAAAGGACACTCTTGACTTCTTTTCAATGTTGATGACCCAGTGAATTGGTAATGAACTGGCATCATTTTTCCCCCCGGAACAGAACAAAATTGTATTCAAGCCATGAAAATTGAAAAAGAGTAAAAACTGCTCATTTCGAGTCATAAGGGTCAATCTGGTTTGATAAGCTAGAATTTCATTATTACCTTTCTCATATTCGTCATTGAAAAGTACATTAGGATTTAATTAAATTCGATTAGGGAGAAAAATTATGAAATTTTACATTTTAATGAAAATTCAATGAAACTCAACATTTTTAACCAGCAAGAAGACAATTTCCCAACTTATTTAAATTATCAATAATGAATTATTCAATGAAAATATGAATAGTAATTACGCTGGTTTTTTAATTAATTGGAAATTCAACGATATATTCAACTGAATTTCCCGGACTTATTTATTTTCATGAAATAACTCCATTGGCGTTTACAGTTTCCATTGCTTTTTCCATAAAATTTTCAGTTTTCAATGACAGAATTTCTTGAATTTTCAGTTGAACTATAATGAGATAAAAATTTTGAAGAAATTTCCGCCCAAATGTTTCCCCTCAACTTAATGTTCACATTTTGATTCATAATTGCACAAATAAATCCTAAAATCCTCACAACTCTCAGAGTTGAATCATTACTCGATTTGAATTCTAGGCTTCATGTATCTCCAATGTTTGTTTATTCAACGAGGGAGGAATGAAACCACGTGGGCGGTTCTCAGAAAATTTGGATACGACAATGAGCTCCAGATGTCGAAAGATTACATCCACCCACCGTAAGTATTCCTCCCCTGTCATAAACATTAATCATTGTCCAAGATTTTTTAATTAATCATGAATCCTTAATGGATTCTTCATTTTTTTTTCCATGGAGATTGAAAGTACCAACTGGGTGCACAACAGAGTTATCCCATAAAGGTCAAGAATTCCTGACAATACTGTTCATGCAGCACGATAGAGATCGCGATGGCGCTTTATCACCACCTGAAATGGAATCATTGTTTTCACGTTGCGTGACACCACCATGGGGCGACGAGTTCAAACACACTGTACCTACTAATGAAAAGGTATTTTTAGAAACTAGGATATACGAGGATGTGTGACGCCAACGATGACCCCAAAACAAGATTTTTATTACTTTATATAAAAAATTGAACAACACAAAAAATAAGTTGGATTTTTTTTTTTGAGGATAGTCACGAACTTTGGCCATTATTAAAAATTATTTTTTCGTCAGAGCTGCCATTCATCTTGTAATGATGGAAGCTTTGTTTATTGTAAACTGCTAGGGAACATTTTTAAAATCTGGCGAGAACTAGGAAGTCTGCTTGTTGGCAATTGGCCAATTTGTTCGGTTCTCAATAGAATATATCATAAGATCATTCCTCATGATCTTATATTTCAGGAATCTAAATAAAACATTAAGTTTTGTCCTCATAAGGGTTCTGATATACAACCGAAATGTCGACTCAACCCATTATTTAATTTATATTTCAGTGCATTATTGACCGCAGGGCCGATCCAATTTTAGTCTCGAACAAGATTTTTGAAATAATCGAAAAATTTCAAGTTCTGGAGATTACGACTGGTTTAAATAGTTTTTAAGTAATTACTAATAATTATGATAAAGCAATCAATTTTCCATTAAAAAAATCATTTGTTCCGAATCGTCACAAATTTACTCAAATTCAGAAGTTTAATAGAGATTGATTTCATGTAAAAAAAATAAAATTTCCGAAAGTTTAAACAATTTTAATTATTTATTTATAAACAGCGAATGTTAAAAAAAAATCGGTGCAAAATCTAATTTGAATGGCGCTATAGTGTAGTCTGTACCAAACTGTAAAAGATGCCTGGATATCCTTAATTAATCTCATTTGTCTATATTAGTGATGGGAAAGAGATTAAATGTTTTTGACCAAACGCGATTGATACCCTTGATTAATTGAATTAATTAATTCTCCAGGGCTGGATTACCTATCAAGGATACATGTGTCAATGGGCCCTAATGACACTAACCAACGTACGAAAAACCCTGGAGTACATGGCATACCTAGGCTACAGTATGTTTAACAATGAGTGTCAAACGAGTGCTATAACCGTCACAAGAGAGAAGAAACTGGATCTCGCGAAGAAACAGTCCAGTCGAAATGTCTACACCTGTCACGTGATTGGGCGAAAGAGCAGTGGAAAAACCACTCTATGTAGGACATTTATCGATCCCAAACTCGAGGTATTGAACTCACTGCTCTTTCCTAGATGATGGAGTTCTGTTTTTACACTGAATTACTTGTTCGCAGAAATTGACTGATGATAATGTACCATCGAGCGCTCAGATTGTGGCGAATACGGTGCACGTTTATGGACAGGAGAAGACTATTATATTGAGAGATATTAATATTTTGAATGTTCAAGATGCCTTAACTCCTGCACAAATACAGTGCGATGCTGCAGCTCTTGTTTACGATGCCAGCGATCCAAAGTCATTCGAGTATATTGCTCGTATTTATATTGTAAGTATCATCGATACGAACTGAATATAAATGAACAGGGGTGGAGACCAGAACGAAAATGTCGAGATAGCTTTTTGATGATTTTTGATGATTTAAATAACTAACTGATTATTCTCAATTTTTTCCAGAAATATTTTGCGGACAGCAAGATACCCGTACTAATAGTAGCAAACAAGAGCGATCTCGCTGAAGTTAAACAAGAGTACCTGCTCCAGCCAGCGAGCTTCTGCAGCAAGTACAAACTCATGCCCCCACAACCGTACAGCATCACTCGTACTGTACGACCGGAGGTATTCGTCAAACTAGCGACAATGGCTGCCTTTCCGTGAGTATCTCTCCTGATAAATCACTGATTCACAAATGAACGAGATATTTACTTTTCATTTGATTATTCCATGCATAAAGAATGCCACCCAGGAATTAGTTTGCTTGAGGGAATATTCATATTCCAATTGCTTTAGAGATTCTTCGGTTTACAATCCGTTTATTACGAGATGTCCTGCAAGTTCTCCTCTTATTTACGTTTATTTTCATTTTTATTATAACATGAAAGGATAAATACACAGTTTTTTTGAATTGTCAGAAGATGAATTGTCAGAAGCAAATGCAGAATTCAGTTTTCGAAGCCAAACACAAATCATTGAACACAATTTGTCATTAAGGGGACGTCCATTCCGAGGAAAAAAATTGTATTTTTCGAGGAAAAATTTTTCTAAATGCTATTTTTTGCGTAATTTTCTGTCAAGAATTCGATTTCGGTGGCCAGAAGTGTCTCCAATCGCTCAAAACTAGAGATTCGAATTTTTTGTAACCCAAAATTCCACTTCAACGAAATCCCCAGTGTATAATTTTTTTAGTAGTTTTTCGAATAGAATCACCAATATTGTCGCTTCTTAATTATGAGAAGATCCATTTTTTAATTTGTTCGTTTATTGAAATTTCTATTATCTCGATTTTTTTTTGTTCAAGTATTATGTAGGTACTTAAATAAAATTAACGGTCACAAAAGTGACCCAACTTGACCCGTTAAAAGTAACGACCTATTTTTTTGCTGAAAAATGAACTTTAAAGTGCGTCTTCTCTCCCTTTTTTCATGACCAAAGAGCGAAAATTGTTAATCATATTTTAAAAACAGCTATTTAAAAAGCTTTTACGCTGAGGATTCTTTCTGAGTTGAATTTTCAGTTACAAAAAATTCAAATCTGTAATTTTGAACGATCGGAGATAAATTGGACGTACAAAATCGGATTTCCGAGGAAAAATGCGAACAATAATATTCTATTAATTTTTCCTCGAAAAACAAAAAGATGTTTCTTCCGGGGTGAATCTTCTCTCAAATTGGAAACAAAATCGGAAACTAATAGAAAGCAATTTCGTGTTTAGCCGCTTTCAAGCAGCGTGGGTATTATTTTACAAACACAGGTTGGTTCAATTTTCTACACTGTTTAAATTTTAATCGTAGGCACGTCAATAGGCTGAAGCGATTTGCTGTATTTTTTTGTCATTCACAATTTGAATGTTAAACGCTGAGAATTAAAACACAGCTTCTGGGACCATCTAATATGTTTACACTTGCATATTAATTGTTGTTGAAGAATACATATAATCGGATTTGTGGAAGCAAGTTTTCCATTTATTCTTTCGACTTGTTTCAGCCCTTTGAGGCGTACGGTCCACATGTTGCTTGTCAATCCTTCACCAAGTCAATGGTGGAGTTCTTTCACAAGGTTCCTCTTCGTATTTTTCATGTTTTATGAGCTTTTATTTATTAACTGATCATCGTTTATACTTGAGGTTTTTTGGAATGCGCATGGAGTTGTTATTTCATGGTTAAATGTAATCCTGGCTTCTTTTTTTCATTTTATGAGTAATAATGAAGTGATAACGTCATTTTATGAAGCGGATTTAGAATAGGAAAGTGAGAAGTTCAAAATAAAGATCAGCAATTGTTGGAAAATCAAGGGGTAGTGGAGAAAATACTAATAAGTCTGAGGATTTTTCACAATATCCCTGGATTTTTCCCAAAATATCTCAATATGGAGATGAAGAATGTCATTGAAGGGAGATTATCCTGAATTTTAAAAGTTGTTGGTTATTGTCTAAGCATCTTCATTTGTTTCTCCCATATTCTGTACATATGCGGAAATTCATAATTAGCGTGAAGAAACTGATTGTTCACTGCCCGTTTGCAATCTAGAACCATACACTTATCAAATCGAAGGAATAATTCGGTTTACTCAATTTCTGAAATGAACAGCTTTTTTCGAAAAATTTACAAAAAAAAATGTGCAGAAAAACATTTACGAGACACTTTTTTGATATTCGACTTTAAAATAGCGTAATTTCCATGTTCTTATCTTAGAATGATCCACTGCAATTTTCTAATGCCGTCTAATAAGAGAAACATAGGAAGGTTCTCTTCAATAATCCGCGACTTACAAACTCAGGGTATTTTCCGCTTAAGGGTACCAGTGCGTAATCCGCAAAAGCAAAGAATTGAATGAAAAATTTTCAACACATTATTTAATGCATTTAAAAACTGTGTGCAAAATATAAAGAATTGCAAATACAATAACAACGGGAAAAATCTAAAGTTGCTACTCATATATTGGGTTAAATTAGACATTGATAAGTTTAGAATCTTTCCCGTGGTACGCCTCGACGAATAATGGCAGGAAAACATTAAAAAACGTTTTTTAATATTTTGCATACAGATTAAATAATGCAGTAACGAATTCCCATTTAACGCCCGGGTGTACTATCTTTCGAATGTTATCTGGATTTTTTTCATCTTTCGTAATCGAAAATTGTCAATTGAGTGGTACATAATGTAGAAATTACCAAAAATGATAGAATGATTTTAAAAAATTGAAAAAATTCAAAGAGCGTTTTTAATTGAGATTCAGGGTGAGTTGAAAAAGTGGAAATTACAAATATCTGATTCGCTGTGGCAAATCATCTATTAGCTGTCATTTTCCATGGTGTGTAGCAAAACACTAACTCCTCATGGGAAGTGACTGCTAGGAATCTCAATTTTCAAAACAGTGGTATGTAGTCATCTGCCATTTTTATGTGATAAAAGGGTGACTTAAAAATTCTCCAAAATATTACAACTTTTTTCAAAGAGCCTTTTCCATAAGAAATGTCTGTGTGCAGTGTGGGAACAGATTTACGAAATCAGTCTTTCCCCTACATGATATTGGGTGACAGGCCGCCATTTGTCACCGTAAATCAGATAGACTTTTCAATTTCTTGTTATTCAACTTATTCTGAAAATAAATTAAAAATGCTCTTTAAAAAAATTTCAGAATTTCTTCTACTTTTTTTTTTATTATTCATTCATAATTTTTTAAAACCTTTGCATGATGCAGGACTCAATTGACAATTTCAGATGACGAAAGATGAAAAAAAAACCTCGAGATAACGTTCGAAAAATAGTCCACCCGGGCCTTAATTCTCTGCTTTTTTCATAAAATTAGCGATTGAATAATGAGAGAAATACGAATAGAAACCGTTCCGATCCTGAATGCAAAAATGCACTTGTTTTTTTATTCGTATAATTGTGGTAATTCATATGCAATGCGATATCAATGATGGCTGTTGGCTTTATGTTGTCAATCAACAGTCCGGCATGTTCGATTGATCATCCATGATCGGTTAAATGTTTGAATTGGGATTTTGGTGGTTTCAGACACATGAAGCAGTTTGGTCTGGCCCAAGGGGAGTCAGTTGCCTGGTGGAAGGCCGGTCTTGGAATCGCCGCAGCCACTGTAGCTGGTTTTATGATGATGCGTGTACTCAACACGAACAAAAGATAGTCTTACCATATTATATATTTTTTCCTCCTATCCCCGTCCCTCGTATTATACCACTTGTTTAAGAAAACAATGCCCTTACCGTAAAGCACGCGTTAAGTTAATAAACACTGTTCCCAAATTTGAGATTTATCATTCATTCTACCCAATCCTTTTTTACGTGGACACGTCTTTCTAGAAAATTCAGGAAAATTCTCCGGTTTTTTAGAAAATACCAGAAAATTCCGAGGGTCTACTCGCTCCCGAAATCACGGCGCGACTCTGGCATGAAATCAGTCCGCAATCACTCCGAAATCACATGAAATCATCGAAATCACTGAAATCAAGTGATTTTAGCCCTCCGTAAAATCACCGAAATCCGTGGTGCACTGGCGTAGTGCGAACCGTGATTTTGAAAGTGACACGCTTGTCAACGATGATAATAAAATGCCGTAATCATTGCCACAGTAAAATGGTAAAATAGACTGCTTTTTATCGTCATTAGCTCCAGATTAGCAGAGTGGAATCAAATGAATTCGTTATTATTTGCCAGTTATTATTGCCAGTTTTGATTTTCATAATTTGACACAACCCGTTCTGCCCCACCTCTATTATTTATTAACTTTAGTTTTCTGTAATCACTGATTTCGAATTAATGAAATCATTCGAAATCATAAAATCACCTCCCGTGATGCTCGAAATCACCGAAATCATTTTTTCCGGAATCACTGAAATCACCTGAAATCGATTTCATTTTGAAATCATGATGTCACTCAATTATGGAGTGAGTCGCACCTCGAAAAATTCTGATTTTTCAAAAAATTTGAGAACACTCGGATTTTCTAGAACAAACCTCACCTTGATCTCAGATTAATCGTTCATGCCAGGAGATAAGAGAATATCTACCTCTGTGAAAGCATATCAACATTTTTTTCCCGTCGTACACAAGTCCTCAAGCCTTGTGTGCATAATGGACTTATGAGGATTTCCAGAATTTCTTATCGTTCGTCGGGATATCATTGAGAGGATGAATGAAAAATGAGTGAGCAATTGAACGATTTAATAATTTGTTTCATTCACTTCATCATTTTGCGAAAATTTTTTTTCGTAAAAACGCATTCATTGGAAAATTCTTCCGAAAATTCTATTAGTTTTCCGCCGATTCTCTTGTAAAATTCCGCAGCTTTTGCGCGCAGTTTTTTCGGGAGAACATGTTTCATAAGAACTATTGAATAGTCTTCAAAATCAATAGAATTTGATCTTTCTGTAAAACGTATTCTATTTAGATATTTTCCAAGGGTTTTTCAGTATATTTTCTTTTTTTCCTGTCTTTGAAAAAATCGAACAAAAAACATTAGAAAAGTTACGTCAGAATTTCTATTGGAAATATCTCAATAGAATAAATTACGTAGAAAAATCAAATTCTGTTGATATTTTGTTCTGCAAAGCTGAACTCTGACTTTTAAATCTCAGAGAAGTGAACTTTTCAGGCAGGTATTGCAAAAATATTGAAGAATAAAATTCTTAGAGATTCCTTTCAAAGTTGTTTTTGCTACACTTAATGTACAAGAAAATAGTATATTTCGATACGAGTACGCAATAGTATTTTTCCGGTCTGTTGCGATGGGGTTTTTTACCCCATCCTCGCCTACGGCTCGGAGGCCAACGCCACACGAGTAAAAAAAACCCATCGCAACAGCCCAGGAACAATATTTTTCTGTAGTGATTTTCCTGTTTTCGAGTTTGGGAAGTATGTAATACCAATTCCCAGACGAGAAATCGTGAAAAGCAGTACAGAAAAAGTGTTTTTTGACCCGTGGTGAAAAACAAGTGATGAAAATATTCTAGCTGAATTGCAAATTTGACTGCAGAGCAGAAATACAAAAAAAATTAATCGATATCGTGTCTCTCGCTGGTCATCCACGTATGATCATTGCCCATTCAAATTGCGAAATTTTTATCTTAACCACTCACTCAGAGAAATCCGACCTGTATTCCAAAGGTGAACACGCCTTTGGAAACTTTCCAAAAGTGATGTTTTTGTTATAAAGACGTACAGTTGAAGCGAAGACGTCCGCTTTGAAAATGTTTGTGGAGCAGGTCGTACGTTTTTTGTTGGGAAAATTCAATTGAATGTAATATTCTCTATTCACAATATCACAATGAGTTTACGGATTCAATGAGTTTAATAATTTGCCATTGAAATATCAATAATCCCTTAACGTGAAACACCAACTTTCTTGAATCTCCACGTTGAATAAAAAATTCCGTTAACCTGTCATTCTTAAATTGAATTGAAATCCCCAAAATGACAATTCAGATGCACCTATTCCTTAAATGAAAAACAGTGATAAATCTGGCAGCGTAATCATCAAAACCGTAGAGAAGCGGTAAAATAGTTCAAGTCGATTTTGACAATTGGCCAGTTTTCAATGAATATCTCGAAATCTAGATGAGATAGCAAAATTTTTGTCGTGACCTTTTTCGTAGCGCTCACTTCGATCTACAAAAAATTTAAATTATTCTTCGAAAACTCAGTGACTTAAACCGCATTACTGCTTCGCTACTGAAAGAAAACAAATAATCAAGTAGACACATGGTATTTACGTTTTAACAACTAATTTTATTCACTTCCTTCAATTTTCTAGTACATCATCAACGAATTGGATCAATACTCCGTCGATCTCTTGAAACATTGAAAAGCACAGACAAAGAAAAATACAGTGTCCAATGACGGATAATTTGGGGAATCATCTATCGAGAGATTTACATATCTGAAAGAAAGCAGAAAAATTCACATGATTAACATTAATCTGCACGTAAATCGTACAAAAATAGAATTCTCTCCATTCGAGAAAAAATTATTTTTGCCAAATATTCATTTACTTGAGAGAAGCATTTTTTCAAAATTGTATGTCTCCAATCGAATCATTCCTAGGCGAGCCGGATTAGGGTTCAATTATGACAATCCTGTTGTTCTAGAGGATGACAATGTTGCACATCAATTTCGATTAATTTTTTAATGTTGATAATTATTGAGGGAGTTTACTCAAGGTCATAACTAACATAAGCATCTCCTAGAGCAATAAAAGAGTGATAATTTAGACAATTTTTTGGTCAAATCGCTTCTCATCAATTTGTGGAATCGATGTAGCCAAAAAAAAATTTTGCGTTAATTATTGAGGGAGTTCGTTCAACGTTACAACTAACATAATCATCGCCTAGAACAATATAATTGTCATAATTTTATGGTGAATTTTTAAACTAGAGTAAGTGCATTTTTTTCGAAAAAAATTGTTCTGTTAAATCTTTTCCCATAAATTTATAAAAGCAGTTTGACAACAAAACACAACTTCCAAAAATGCACTTATCCTAGTTTGCCAATTCACCACAGAATCGAAACCTAATGAAGATGCGTGGTGGTGACTCGACTGGAGAAATACGGTATCGAAGAGATAAACATTTCTCCCAACTAAATGGATATTCGCCAGAAAGAATTTGTTTTCTGACTGCAAAACCAAAACCCTAAAAAAATACTAACGATTAGCGGTCTTGCACTGGCGTAGAGCCTCATTGAAGCCCTCGCAGAGTGTGAGATCTGACTGGTGCTGAGCGCACTCGAGGAATTGTTTAATCTCCCAGGCGCAAGCCCCTCCAGCTTGAGGAGCTGGCTGCATGTTCTGCTGTGCCACTGGAGCTGGTGCAGCGGCTGCCGCTTGCTCTGATGAGCCACCGCTGAAGAGGCCGGTCATGGCGTGTCCAATGGTGTGACCGACTGCGGATCCGATGGCAACACCACCAGCAGTGGCTGCCATTTGACCCATCAGTCCGGGCCCCTGGGGTGCTGCAGCCACCATTGGACTGGCCGCCGGAGCTGGCACTGGTGCTGGAGGATGCGCCGCAGGGGCAGCTCTAGCCGGAGCTGAGGGCCTAACCCTAATTCAACATCCAACCACAACTCATTATTTCCCGTTTCGTCATTAATTTCTAAATTTCGCGGATGAAATGCATTTTCTGCTTCGGTTTTTCAGGCCGTCCGACTCCCATGTTTCACGGGCCGTTATCCCTTTTCATCGGGACGTTTCGTTTATTAGGGGATAGATACAGTAGAGGCGTCGTATAAGATAACTCTCTATAAGATACTTCGCGCTCCTAGTGCTCGAGGCCTACTGCGAGGGAATCCATTGAACAAAAAACGATATTTCAATTACAAATTTTCAATCTATTTCGGCCATTTTTGTGTTCAATAAATTTTTTTAATAACTTTTCTATTTTTTCCCCACATATTTCAAACCTTCTTTCATTTTTCTAGCTCGTCTTTTGCTCAATCGGAAGGTCCTTTTGAATGACCAGAAAAAAAAGAAAAAAAATGGATAGTTCAGACCGGGATTTGGACCCGGGACTTTCCGATTATGCATCGGGTGCTCTCCCTTTTTCATTTCAAATTTCTGGTACATATTGAGCTCCGCCGTCCTTCTTATGGCATTCATTTTTTACATTAAAGAAGGGACTTTATATAACGTTCCACATCTCTGTGACGTCACTCGGCTGTTATGTTTCTTCCCATAGCGAAATGTATCCTCACAATTTCATTCGTATTTGCCGCGCTTACCCCTCCACGATTTCTAACCACGAAGTCGTCGCCATTACAAGTTGCGCACGCAAAATTCCTATTTTTCATGAGTTTTTTAATCATCCCCTCTAAACAATTCTCCTAGGCCACTTGGATTATTTTTTTTAGGTTCCTCCATAACAGCTCCACCCAAGTGCGAAATTTCAGGAAAATGGCGACTTTTTTTCTGTTTTTAATTCTTTTTCCGAATTCCCATAAGAGCCCGCATTAAAATGCATTTTTTGGAAAAATTCCGATGTTTCACCCATTCTCCTAGGCTATCTGGGATTTTGCATAGGGCTTTTGAAAAAATCAAAGAATGTATGGAAAAAAATCAATTTCTCGACTTTTTATCGACCCCCCACTCCCCTTGACTGCGATATAAATACCTCAATGGTGGGAGTCGATTGTAAAGGTTATAAAATTAGATGTAGAAAAAAAAACTGGCCGATTGTAAAAATTATCAGAAAATAAATTAAATGACAAAAAAACGACTGTCTAGTCACTTCATGCAATTTTTTTTACGTCTACGTCACGCGTCTAGAGTCCTAGACCTTGTGCTCGTGACGTAATGCCTCTTTCAATTGTAAAATCAAAGCTAATTGAGGGATTGAGGGCAATTTATCCGCTGGAATTATTTAATTGCACTTACGTCCTTGGGGGAGGTCCAGATGCACGTCCTCGTCGTGGCATGTTTGGTAATTCAGGTGTAATCAAGGGCTTGATGAAAAATTCACGTGTGTTCACTTGGTTATTCACTTTAGAACTGACTGCGCTGAGATGGAAACGGAACAGAAACGAGGGGATTTTGTCGATAACGTCGCGTTGCGTAAGTCTCGGCGGAAGAAGGGGAGGGATGTGGCGTGGCGCAGGTCTTCTAGAGTCTCGGTATTTTCTAGAATTTTCTAGAATAATAATCACTGCGTTTATTAAGGGTTAACGCGAAGTTTGAACATTGCTAGAGGCCAAAATTGAGGGGATACTTCGTTTTTAGAGGGATTTTGTGAAGGACAGGGGATTTAACGCGGATTTTTGGACTTTGAACGCTTGTTCCGCTTTGAGACTTGGCAACTAGCGCCGCGAAACTAGAATGTACCATGGCTGGCGTGTAGTTCCCCGGAGAAAATAAATGTCCGGAGCTTTTTTTACCGGATAGGGTGAACAGGCCCATTACTGGACGGTTAAGATGACACGGAACCCCTGCGCTATATAGTAAACTTTTAGAATTGTGTTTTCTCCTGTAATTATTATTTTTTATTTGTGAAACTACTTCATTGTCTCAGTGCAAGGATCGAGTCGATAAAGTAATTTCATAGATATAAAGTAATAGGGGCGGGTGGGGTAAAATGGACACTTGAGACTTTTTTTAAATTATTCATAACTCAGAAACAAAGTTATCAATTGAGCTCAGTTTAGGCTCGTCACAAAGGGAAAGAATTGTTCTTTGTATTGAAAAAAAATTAATTTCATCAGTATTTCAAGCCCTCATTAACATTTGAAAAAAAGTCAAGTGTCCGTTTTACCCCAACCTCCCCTAATTATGAGAGAAAACACAGTTCTAAAAAATCAGTTGGACACAGGGGTTCAGTTTTTCTTGAAGGGGTAACAAAACCTTACTTTTTTAGGCATAAAATCGATTTCTTGTCAAATTCTGAATCTGAATAAATTTGTTACGATTCCGAACAAATGATTTTTATGGTGGAAAATTAATTGTTTATAAATTATTTATAGAAAATGCTCATAATTTTGAAGAATTGCAGTTTTCAACTCATTTCATTCATCTTGTTCCAAAAGTAAACTTTGTAATTGTTTTTCAGATTTCTTAAATGTTTTTAACGGTTCAATATCGAGATTCAAATTCAGATTTGCAACGTTTAAATAACAAAATCATTGTAAAATGTCCAAAACTTAGGGTCAAATGGTAGCTCTGATGTTCGACTACAAAAGTATAAAAGTATTTCACTGGAGAAAAAATGGCCAAAGTACTTGGCTACCCTTAAGGGTCTGAAAACTACCACCTATGGTATCTGTTTTTCATTTCAAATTGCGTAAATGAGTTTTTTCGGATTCACTGAATTCTTGTGGAGAGGGAACTGATGAAAATGCGGGGATATTTCTGCAATTTGAACGTAGTTTCATCATGCAACAAACAATGTCATGCGTTGAAAAATAGCGCCACTGTGATGAGGAGTCACGTGAGAGCGACGTCTGTTTACCGAGAATTATTTTTCCCGGGCAATGATCCAAGAATGTCTGCTGATTCAGCAGATGAAACTGTTTATCGACGTGGAGTGTTAGGATTTCTCAGAAGTTTGATGAGTTGAGAGTAGATGGCAATGGTCAATGGAAAATGTTGGGTTCGTTTGAATCGACACGGCTTCATGACAGTTGACGGACAGTTTTCGATTTAGCCAGAAATGCAAAATGACGGTCATTATTTAGGTCGCGTCAGATGACCAAAATCTGACGGTCATGTGATGCACAAATTTTCTAACGAAAAATCATCATCATCATTACAAATAATTTGTAACCATTTAGAGACGAGTCCCTGAAAATTACTGACGATGTCACTGAAAATTGATGACAAAATCACTCAATTTCAGAATGTTTCAGTCACTGAATATCACAATCTAAAACTCCTAATAATTGGGGATAGATTCCTGAAAATTCGTGACATGTCCCGGAAAATCAAAACATTTTTTTGTCTGCGTACATTCAGGTTATTTTATTCCCTAGATGGAATATCCTCAAGATGAATTAAAATTTGATTTATTCTTCTCATTTGGTGCGTTGCATATAGTGTAGTTATTTTTGCTAATAAATTAGCAATATGCTTCCTTCTATCATATGCAATTCATTGTTCACTTCATTTCATTAAATTAAATAAGATTCTTTTCAACTAATTTTCTCAGATTTTCAAGTTAGTTGAATTTTATTATCATCATTATTTTTATTATCCCCTTCTTCTATACAACCGATTGTCTTTCTGGCGGTTCTCTCTCCCCTCAACCCTTCGATAAAATGTTAATAGAAAAATTTTATTTATGCATACTTGAATGAATTTGAAACATCTCACATTTTAAGAAACCATCAAAAAGCTCACTTTCAGGGATATTCATGAAAAATTCGAAATTTTCAACAATCATCATAAAAATCAAATCAATGGCATTAAAATAAACAATTTAAGCTGTGATTAAATTCATTCGAATCGTGATATTCAATGATATCCCCGGAATTCTGATTTAAAAAAAATACAAGATTTTTGCAAATTTTCAAATGAATCAAAATAACGGTCATTACTATCGCCTTCATCTTCGAACTTGTCAAAAGGACATCCAAATAAATTTCATTCAATCAGTTCAGAACATTTTTTTAGCTATCGTGGTACAACCGATTTTCGAAAAAATTTGAAAATTAAAAAATCCAATCGGTTAATTAAATTTTAAATAATGGGGATCAATAAGGCTGAATGATACCGACATTTGGAAAAAAAATCAACTCCATCTATCACAAGCGTACGGACGAGATATAAAAATGGCATTTTCGGACTTTTTGAATCATTCTGGGTCGATATAGCACAAAAAATCCGAAACTTAACTTTAAACAATTACAAAGCTTCCATTCGGAAGCAAAATATAATTTTGCCAATCAAATATGTTTCACACGAGAAGTTACAGTCAAATTTTGTACAGAAATGACGGTCATTTGTTTGTCTGAAACAAAATTGATTGGCAGAATTATATATATTTTCTGAGTGTATCTTTAAAATGTGCCCCAACCCCATTTCGAAGAAATCAATCTCCCTCTGCAAAATTCTACGCAGTTTTGGATGATGAAAATTCACCTCCAATTGCATTAAAGAATTTATCACTGCTCGACGATAGCCGAGCTCAAAATAACTCGGAAAATGGAAAGAAAATACTGCGAAATCCCGGCAATTGACCCGCCGATAATGATTATCTAATTATCTCCAGGGTCACGTCACAACAATTGACTTTACATGCCAAATCAGCCGATCATTGCGATGCAGGCCGCAGAAGCCGTAACATATTTTTGGCACTGAAAAAAGACAAAGAAATGAATTGAGTGGGAGTCAGCAAAGTGCGATAAAAAAAAGTGCTGACAAAAAAGTCTTCGACCTCCGGAGCCAGCCTTGAGAGGCGAGTACAATCGGTTAGCGAATTTGGTATCAGCTCGAGACTCTTTTTGTTCGGAAGCGTCATGATTTATTTGTTATTCCCTCCTTGTTCCATCTAAAAGAGTAGGAGGCATACTACAGTTCCGCCTCCGAGTTCTTCACCTCGGTGGCAACCTCCGGAGCGTATCGACTTCCTCAACCTATCGCTGCGCATTTCAATAAAACCACGGGATTATAGAATTACCGAAAAACTTGGAAAATAAGTTATCACTTAATCCTTGAAGTCTTTTCATTTCTCATATTCCCGGTCTTTTGCTGCGATAAAGACGGAAGCGAGAGAGAGCACAACTACTGAGGTTCAGGGGAGATTATCCCGAGTTTTGAAAAACACCGGTTATTTCCATATGTTTATCCTGTCCTCCGTCAACTCAAAAACTTATAATTAGCTTGAAAAATAGTATATTTCATAACGAGTGCTAAAAAACATTTTTTCACGAGTTACGAACAATATTTTTCATCACAATGTGGCGGAAATTGGACTTTTAGGCACGCGGAGCAGGCCGAAAAGTTCACTTTTCGTCACAGCGTGATGAAAATAGTATTTTTCCGGGCTGTTATGGTGGGGTTTTTTTCTCGCGTGAAGTTGGTATCTGCGTCGAAGGCGAGGACTGGCCAACCATATGAGTAAAAAAAAACCATTGCAACCGCTGGGGATATGATATGATTTTCCGTACTGACCTTCACTTTTCCTCGACGGGGGATTGGTATTGTCCCTTCCCCAAACTCGTAAAAGTGAAAATCCCTACGCAAAAATATCGTTCACGGCTAGTGGCATGGAGTTTTTCAACTTTTTTTTTCAACGGTTTTATTCAATATGGGGTTTTTCTCCTTGCGTGATTGACTAGTCCTCACCTTCGGAGAGCTTAAATCACCTGATTTCAGTGATTTCGGAATGTTTTCACGCGGGAGTGGCGCAGTAATTTCAAGAGTGAGAAGCCCCTCGGGAAAATATTCCACAGAAAAAATCAATATATCATCATCATCATGTTCTCTACCAGAAAAATATCTTCTAAAATCAATAACATTGTTCTAAACTCAATAACAATATTGAATATTTTGTTTCCCACGAAGAACATCCTCGGCGAACCTAAAAAAAATAAACATCACCGAGCAACATTGAATGCTGATAACTCATCCCGCGAATCATTCGATGAAGCACGTACAAAAGCCAACGAATCATCAAAACCGATGACACACCGAATGAAACGAAAGCATGAAACCCCGATAAAAACACACAACAGCAGATACTCATGAAGACGCAAGTGAATAAGAAAAATCCTGCGTAGAAACTCCTCCATATCTTCTGGAGTAATGCAACGCATCGAGAGGGAGGTAGCCTCAACGAAATAAGTCGTATCTCACCGCATATAGACCATCTGCGTCAACGAGATGACCCTCTCCTCCGCCTCCACAGTGCACCAGTGGAGGTCACCCACCAGCAGAAAAAAAGTCCCCAAGTGGGAGAGAAAAAGCCTAAAAAAAATTCCGATATGTCCTCAGATGCGACAGCTTTTGTCGCATCATCCATTATCACATCTTATCGTACCCTAAAACGCCTCCATCTTGTCGTCCCTCTCTCTCTCTCTCTCTCTCTCTCTCT